TGGGTTGTAGAGGTGTCCATAGAGGAACAAAGGGTTAGGCTGGGTTGTAGAGGTGTCCATAGAGGAACAAAGGGTTAGGCTGGGTTGTAGAGGTGTCCATAGAGGAACAAAGGGTTAGGCTGGGTTGTAGAGGTGTCCATAGAGGAACAAAGGGTTAGGCTGGGTTGTAGAGGTGTCCATAGAGGAACAAAGGGTTAGGCTGGGTTGTAGAGGTGTCCATAGAGGAACAAAGGGTTAGGCTGGGTTGTAGAAGTGTCCACAGAGGAACAAAGGGTAAGGCTGGGTTGTAGAGGTGTCCATAGAGGAAAGGGTTAGGCTGGGTTGTAGAGGTGTCCATAGAGGAACAAATGGTTAGGCTGGGTTGTAGATGTGTCCATAGAGGAACAAAGGGTTAGGCTGGGTTGTAGAGGTGTCCTTAAAGAAACAAAGAGTAAGGCAGGTGAGTAGATGTGTCCATAGAGGAACAAAGAGTAAGGCAGGGATGTAGAGGTGTCCATAGAGGAACAAAGGTTAAAGCTGTGTTGTAGAGGTGTCCATAGAGGAAAGGGTTAGGCTGGGTTCATTTATTTTCATTTATTAACTTTCGGCCTTACGGCCCATCAGTACAAACATATCAATACAATGCATAATATACACAATAACACGGCTCACAATATACAGTGAGAGAGTGGAGTAAATAAATTAGATTCTTAACTTATTAGCTTCAAAAATATATTTACCAAGTTGACATAATTCCTTAGTATTGTTAACACACAATAATTGTATAAATTTAAACATGGANGTGTCCATAGAGGAACAAAGGGTTAGGCTGGGTTGTAGAGGTGTCCATAGAGGAACAAAGGGTTAGGCTTGGTTGTAGAGGTGTCCATAGAGGAACAAAGGGTTAGGCTGGGTTGTAGAGGTGTCTATAGAGGAACAAAGGGTTAGGCTGGTGCATAGAGGTGTCCATAGAGGAACAAAGGGTTAGGCTGGGTTGTAGAAGTGTCCATAGAGGAACAAAGGGTTAGGCTGGGTTGTAGAGGTGTCCATAGAGGAACAAAGGGTTAGGCTTGGTTGTAGAGGTGTACATAGAGGAACAAAGGGTTAGGCTGGGGTGTTACAGGGTGACCATAGTTGACAAGGAGCAGTTAGTCAGGGTGAGTGCTTAACAGTCGAGATGTTTTCAGACTAAATTTAGTCATTCTAGTACCCTTGTTGCTGTTTGTTTGAAGTCAGCAAATAATCGTTGTCCTTGTCCATGGCGGCTGATCTCTTCATAGGAGCTGAAGTAGACAGATAAATCGCTCAGAATCAGGTTTTGATAATTTGAAATGAAGCCAACAGATTCAATATTATTTTTCAATTTGCAAGTGCAGTTACTAAACCATATTGTCAGACATTTGCACAACATCATTCTTAAAGTCAGTCATGCATCAGATACTGTCAGATACCTGTTGTGGTACTCTCTGGATCAACATATTCAGAGACCAACCTAGATAAGTATATGAATTTGAAGTGGTCCTTTATACAGGTTCTATTAACCTGAAAATGACCGCTAAATGATTTTTAAAGGGATCTTTTTAACCCGAGTGATCAACAGAGGTGGTCTTGTACAGGTGACTACTTACCTGGAGTACCAGTATTAACAGGACTCGGACTTGTCCTGATCTGCTGGAAGTAGACTTCTTACCTGGAGTACCAGTATTAACAGGACCCAGACTTGTCATGATCTGCTGGAAGTAGGCTAGTTACCTGTAGTACTGGTACCAGTATTAACAGGACCCAGACTTGTCATGATCTGCTGGAAGTAGGCTACCTACCTGGAGTACTGGTACCAGTATTAACAGGACCGAGACTTGTCATGATCTGCTGGAAGTAGACTATTTACCTGGAGTACTGGTGCCAGTATTAACAGGACCCATACTTGACATGATCTGCTGGAAGTAGACTACTTACCTGAAGTATCAGTATTAACAGGACCCAGGCTTGTCATGATCTGCTGGCAGTAGACTACTTACCTGGAGTACTGGTGCCAGTATTAACAGGACCCATACTTGACATGATCTGCTGGAAGTAGACTACTTACCTGAAGTATCAGTATTAACAGGACCCAGGCTTGTCATGATCTGTTGGAAGAAGACTACCTACCTGGAGTACTGGTACCAGTATTAACGGGACCGAGACTTGTCATGATCTGCTGGAAGTAGGCTACTTACCTGAAGTATCAGTATTAACAGGACCCAAGCTTGTCATGATCTGCTGGCAGTAGACTACTTACCTGGAGTACTGGTACCAGTATTAACAGGACCGAGACTTGTCATTATCTGCTGGCAGTAGACTACTTACCTGGAGTACTGGTGCGAGTATTAACAGGACCCAGGCTTGTCATGATCTGCTGGAAGAAGACTACCTACCTGGAGTACTGGTACCAGTATTAACGGGACCGAGACTTGTCATGATCTGCTGGAAGTAGGCTACTTACCTGGAGTACTGGTGCCAGTATTAACAGGACCCAGCCTTTTATTATCTGCTGGCAGTAGACTACTTACCTGGAGTACTGGTATCAGTATTAACAGGACCCAGACTTGTCATGATCTGCTGGCAGTAGACTACTTGCCTGGAGTACTGGTACCAGTATTAACAGGACCGAGACTTGTCAAGATCTGCTGGCAGTAGACTACTTACCTGGAGTACTGCTACCAGTATTAACAGGACCGAGACTTGTCATTATCTGCTGGCAGTAGACTACTTACCTGGAGTACTGGTGCGAGTATTAACAGGACCCAGGCTTGTCATGATCTGCTGGAAGAAGACTACCTACCTGGAGGACTGGTACCAGTATTAACAGGACCGAGACTTGTCATTATCTGCTGGCAGTAGACTACTTACCTGGAGTACTGGTGCCAGTATCAACAGGACCCAGGCTTGTCATGATCTGCTGGAAGAAGACTACCTACCTGGAGGACTGGTACCAGTATTAACAGGACCGAGACTTGTCATGATCTGCTGGAAGTAGGCTACTTACCTGGAGTACTGGTGCCAGTATTAACAGGAGCCAGGCTTGTCATGATCTGCTGGAAGTAGGCTACTAACAGGCCCCAGGCTTGTCATGATCTGCTGGCAGTAGACTATTTACCTGGAGTACTGGTGCCAGTATTAACAGGACCCAGCCTTTTATGATCTGCTGGCAGTAGACTACTTACCTGGAGTACTGGTGCCAGTATCAACAGGACCCAGGCTTGTCATGATCTGCTGGAAGAAGACTACCTACCTGGAGGACTGGTACCAGTATTAACAGGACCGAGACTTGTCAAGATCTGCTGGCAGTAGACTACTTACCTGGAGTACTTGTACCAGTATTAACAGGACCCAGACTTGTCATGATCTGCTGGAAGTAAGCTTGTTGAGACGGTTCTACAAACATATTCGAAGAATCATTTTACTTCACTCCTGCAATAAAGTGCCCTCCCTTCTCTTGGTCAATCTTTTTTTCACTAGGTGGGGGCTTACTTCCCGTCAAATACGGTAAAACAAATTTTGGTATTGGGCTATACAGCCATTAGATTTTTGGATTTTAATAACAAACTTGTCCTTTAAACAAGTCCTTATAGGGCTCGAGTCGTTGTTAGAAATGACTTTGACCTTAAAATTTAAATTTCAGTGGTAAGTTCCGCAATATGATGAAACTTGATTTGGATAAACTGGATAAAATGATGACTTCTAGAATTCTATATACACAACAGGAAAACAAATTAAATGTGCTAAATGCATTGGAATCAACAGTCTGCAGACTTAACGGTAAGTATCCACTTTTCACTGATGTACAGACTATCACTCACTGCATCATTATTCTGAACCCACTCTCACCCATCATTGGTTGGAAATTGGGTATTCTATCGCAATTCAAGTATTGAAAAAAGAGGCCCAATGGGCCTGCACCACTCACTTGATATTAATCTCACACTTGTAATCTTAAAAGTGGACAAAAATACAGCTACAGGCAGAATATCAGTGTTTGATTCATTAGAACCTATTAAAAGATTTAAACATATGAAGCCTGCGACCTAGAATGTCGAACAAGGACATTAGGTTGAACAGAGTTTATAGTCTTCCAACCCAGCATGCTTCTGCCAAAATATCATTACCCTAGACCTTTTGATTATACAGAACAAATCATTTAAAGATTTAAACATATATTGACCACTGTGACCTTGAATATAGGCGAAGGTCATTCACTTTGTAGTCCTTCATCCCAGCATGTTAATAGCCAAATATCATCATCCTTGGCCTTTTGCTTATTTACAAGTCATTTAAAGGTTATTAACATATTTGACCCATGTGACCTTGAAAGTGGGTCAAGGTCATTCATTTGAGCAAACTTGGTAGTCCTTCATCCCAGCATGCTTCAGGCGCAATTTCAGTACCCTGGGTCTTTTGGTTATTGAGAAGAAACTGTTTGAAGATTTTAAGACATTCGACTCCTGTGACCTTGAAAGTGGGTCAAGGTCATTCATTTGAACAAACTTGGTAGCCCTTCATCCAAGCATGCTACTGGCCAAATATCATCACACTAGGCCTTTTGGTTATTGAGAAGAAGTCATTTAAAGTAAAATATCGACCACGGACCACAGACCACGGACCACGGACCATGGACCACGGCATAAGCTCACTTGGCCCTTCGGGCCAGGTGAGCTAAAAATGTATTCAAAGCATGTATTGTGATTTAAAAATATACAAGTTTCGTGTATTTCTTAACCTTTTGCAGCAGATTACTTGTTAGAGATCACATAACCAATGTTTCATACTCATGATTGGTGCAAGAAAACTTGTCAGTCGGCCGGTGTTGTCACCAAGTAGAGCCTCTGAATAAACATGTGAACTGTTCACGTAGCCCCGGATGTGAGCCTCCAAAGCATTGATGAGCTGTTTCACTAAAGGCCTCTGTTCACTTCCGGTTGAAATGAGGAACTCTTCTTCCAAAGTCTCTTCTGCTCTATCCAGGAATTCATAAATTTCTTCATATTTTACAAACCTAAAATAATTGAAGCAGAGAAAATAAGGACATTTTTCTACTCCATTGCAAATGTTTCGCAGTGCATACATGACCAAACAAACAATTTTCAAACAAATATAAGATCTACATGGTAATTTGGATGTCAACACGACAAGTCAGTGTGGTCAGAAAATGACTACAACATGATCACATACTCATCAAGTCTGTAGACAAGGTTGCGATGCATTTCCATTAATCTGTTGGGAGTGATGCACGTCGTCAGCCAGGGGTTATTCTGTTCCACGACATGGAGCAGCACGTCTATTTGGGTATTGTTTCGAGGGGCGTGAAACATTGGTATCATCTCTTTGACTATATATTCAATGGGGTCAAGGAAGTCTGCAGCGATATTTAAAAGTCAAAATATATAATATATTCCAGCAATAATATATAGATATACAGTTCTATTTTCAAGATAATCAAATTTAAACAAGATTAACACAAGAGGCCCAAGAGGGCCTGTATTGCTCACCTGAATATTTCAGCAGTCATAGCAAAATATTCTCATTAAATATTATATTCCACTAAAATTATTTCCCTCGCAAACTTTGTTGGCTCCATCTGTTGAAACTACCAGCAAAATATTATTATAAGATTCTATGCTTTTTGATTCTTCTTCAGAAGTTGCTCTACATATTTTCCCCTCTGACCTTTTAAGTAGGTCAATATCATTTTCCTTCTCAAATTGGTTAGCTCTATTCCAAAATCCTACCAGCCAAATCTTATGAATTCATTCTCGAGAACAAATCCTTTAAAATGTTGTTGACCTCTGTGACCTCTTAAGTAGGTTGAGGTCATTTTCATTCGCAAATTTTGGTGAGCTCTATCCCAGGAAGTCACCAGCCAAATATTATAATTTTATGAATTTTAATTCTTCAGAAGAAGTAGTTTGAACCGTTTGACATATTTGAACACTGTGACCTTGAAAGTAATTCAAGGTCATTTTCATTCGCAAACTTTGTTTGGCTCTTCCCCATGAAATAATCAGCCAAATATTAAGGTTCTATACCTTCCATTTCTTCAGAAGAAGTTGTTCTAAGCGTTGGACATATCCGACTCCTGTGACCTTGAAAGTAGGTCAATGTAATTTTTATTCGCAAACTTTGTTGGGCCCTTTCCAATTTTCCAAGAAAGATACAAGCCAAATATTTAGGTTCTATAACTTTCAGTTCTTAAGAAGTCGTTTTAATCATTAGACACATTTGACCCCTGTGACCTTGAAAGAAGGTCAAGGTCATTTTCATCCTCAACTTTGTCGGGTTCTATCCCAGGAAGCCGTCAAATATACAGATGCTATACCGTTTAGTTCTTCAGAAGAAAGTCGTTTGAAGCATTTGACATATTTGACCCCTGTGACCTTGAAAGTAGGTCAAACTAATTTTCATTCTCAAACTTTGTTGGGCTTTATCCCAGAAAGCCACCAGGCAAATATAAAGATTCTATACCTTTTAGTTCTTCAGAATAAGTTGTTAGAAGTTTGACATATTTGACCCATGTGACCTTGAAAGTGGGTCAAGGTCATTCATTTGAGTAAACTTGGTAGTCCTTCATCCCAGTATGCTTCAGGCGCAATTTCAGTACCCTAGGCCTTTCGGTTATTGAGAAGAAGTTTTTTGAAGATTTTAAGACATTTTACCCCTGTGACCTTGAAAGTTGGTCAAGGTCATTCATTTGAACAAACATGGTAGCCCTTCATCGCAGAATGCTACAGGCCCAATATCAGTACCCTGGGTCTTTTGGTTATTGAGTAGAAGTCATTTGAAGTTTTTAGGATCCGACTCCTGTGACCTTGAAAGTAGGTCAAGATCATTTTCATTCTTAAACTTTGTTGGGCTCCATCCCAGGAATCCATCAGCAAAATATGAAGATTCTATACCTTTAAGTTCTTCAGAAGAAGTCGTTTGAAGCATTTGACACATTTTACCCCTGTGACCATGAAAGTAGTTCAACGTCATTTTCGTCATTTTCGTTCTCAAACTTTGTTGGGCTCCTACTAACGGTCACGAGTCTGGCGTCCTACAACTGGACTACTGTGCCTCCTATTTCTCTCTAAGAATTTCAGTGAAATAGTTTCCCTCCCTATGGGGAATGGATAATCATGTAAGGATATGGAGTTCACAATTCTGATCAAGCACCTTTTGACCCTTTCATCTAGGAAGAGTATATTCATCTAGGATTTCTGGGTAAGAAGATTTGAAATTTTAACCTATTTGATCTGTTTTGGTCTCAACACTCACACATTTGCTCTTTGTGTGGGTCAATTCAGGTTATTATTTTCATACTAGACTCCCCTGGGCCAGCTCCTGAACACAAGAGATCCCAGAGGGATCTTGGCACCCACCATTGTACCAACTGCATTAGTTCCATTTCAGTTCATCTTTTCTCTTCTTTTCTCTTATCTGTTTTGATCAGTTTGCCTGTCCGTCATCATATTCAATCTTTTGATCAGCCTCAAAAGTTAACATGCACAACTCAGGACCAAGCAGAACCTACATATCAAATATGAGAAAAAATCTGTAACCAGATGGCCGGCCGATATGATTTGATATGCTAAACTACCGAGGGTAAGAACAAGAGGAACCCTTATGCAAGCGATAGGGCTAAATCACTTTTACTCCCAAATTCAATACAACCGCCGGCCAGCCATCTTGGTTTTCCAGTCATCCCCAAAATTTGATATGCGGAACTAGAAACCATCAGGAACCTTCATATGAAATTTGAGAAAGACCCCTCCTGAACATTCGGAGTAATAACGCTAACAAACTTTCATTCTCAAATTTGAGATTGTCAACTGTCGGCCATCTTGGTTTTCCCTTCTGTCCCAAAATTTAATATGCGTAACAAAGGACCATGGGGAACTGTTATGTGAAATTTGAGAAATATCCATTTTATACTTTATAAGAAATAGCGCCAACAAACTTTCATTCTCAAATTCAATATGGCCAGCTGTCGGCTATCTTGGTTTTGCGATCAGTCCCAAAAAACGATATTCATAACTAGGGATCATGGGGAACCTTCATGTGAAATTTGAGAAATAGCGATAACAAGAATTGTTTAAGGACAGATGGAACGACGGATGGACGGACGGACCACGGACACAGGGCGATTTGAAGAGCCCACCATCTAATGATGGTGGGCTAAAAATATACCAAAATATATTTCCCTACAGTAAATTTTATCCTCAGTGGTTTGGTTTAATTTTACATTGTTTAACGTCCTATTAACAGCTAAGGCCATTTAAGGACGTCCCTCCATATGTGATGTGTATGCATGCATGCATGTATATATGCCGGAGACAGGGTAGGGAAGGGCTGGTCCTGACGTAATGAATTTCCAACATTAAGATCTTTCCATCTATGAAGAGTTTGATTTTAGGATTTTAGAATTTTGGCCAATTTCACCTCTTTTGGCACTTCCCGCTGGGTCCTCCTGGTTCAGACCCATACATTTTACTATACTGTTGGTGCTTATCTTTTAAACCTTCCAGTTGTTCCAGAAAAGGTATAAAGCATATATTATACACAGATGATCAACATAGATATGCAAAAGGTAATTGCAGAGCTCTCCTGAACTTTATTATATATGTGACCGAGAGATGTACTTGCCACTTAAAAGCTCACTCTTCAAGAAGTTAATGGCCCGTTCCTGCAGCTGTTGCTGGAGCTCTGAAACCACGTGACCTGCTACTTGATCGTACTTGTTCGGGTCAAAGCTGGAGTTTGTGAGGATGGCTTTGAACTGTTCCTTTAAGCTTCTGGAGTCATTGGTGAGATGGTATTTCATTTGAGATTTCATAGCCCCTGGAACATTCATTGCACCATAGTCCGAGAACATTTCATTTTAGATATACAATGTATTGAAAATTACTTCAACTGCAAGATCTTTGTTGCAACTTGTCAACTGAATGCACCAAATGTAACGGGTAACTTTGAATTTAATCCACCTAGAGTAATTGCTAAACTCTTGTATATTTAGGATACCTGGTGTAATAGAAGACCTGGTGTGCAATATATGTAATGCATTGCAAGAGACAACCTTGCATTTTATCAGAGTGCTACAATGGGTGACAGTGCAAGATATTTCTTGTAATTTGGGACCTTGAACAAAATACTTTTGTAATATTTAGTAGGTAAATTCCTATATGAAATGTGCATGGGACCTCGTGCGACAGATCACATTAGTAAACGTGTACAAGACAACTAGCTAGTAGTGTAAAATACGACTAGGCTGTCTGCTGTAATGGGCGATATATGGTCTCCAAGAAATCTGGTGTAATAGGTGAACTCTAAAGTCCTTTAATGTGGGACTTTGGGTACAAGATATTTGTCATGTTAACTTCTGCATAAGATATCTAGTGTAAAACACAGCCTCCTATGAAAGATACCTCTTGTTAAAGACATTCACTGCATGCAAGGCATCTGTAGTGAATACAAAATCCACTGTAATCAATAAACTTGTGTGCTACATATATTCTGCAACAGGTGACATCTTGTGTAAGATATCTGTTCTGATGGGCAACATCCTGTTTTGGATATCTGTTGTGATGGGTGACCTTGTGTGTTAGATATCTGATGTGATGGGCGACCTCATGTGTTACATATCTGATGTGATGGGTGACCTTGTGTGTTAGATATCTGATGTGATGGGTAACCTCATGTGTTACATATCTACGGTGATGGGTGACCTTGTGTGTTAGATATCTGCTGTGATGGATGACCTTATGTTAGATATCCACTGTAATGGATGACCTTGTGTATTACATATCTGATGCGATGGGTGACCTTGTGGTAGATATCTGATGTGATGGGTGACCTTGTGTGTTACATATCTGATGTGATGGGTGACCTTGTGTTAAGATATCTGATGTAATGGGTGACCTTGTGTTAGATATCTGATGTGCTGGGTGACCTCATGTGTTACATATCTGATTTGATGGATGACCCTGTGTGTTAGATATCTGATGTGATGGGCGACCTTGTGTGTTAAGATATCTGATGTGATGGATGACCTTGCATGTTAAATATCTACTGTGATGGGTGACCTTGTGTGTTACATATCTACTGCCATGGGTGACCTTGTGTGTTAGATATCTGCTGTGATGCGCGACCTCGTGTGTTACATATCTGATGTGATGGATGACCTTGTGTTAGATATCTGATGTTCTGGGTGACCTCGTGTGTTACATATCTACTGTGATGGGTGACCTTGTGTGTTTCATATCTAATGTGATGGGCGTCATTGCCTGTTACATATCTGATTTGATGGATGACCCTGTGTGTTACATATCTACTGTAATGGGTGACCTTGTGTTAGATATCTGATGTGATGGGTGAACTTGTGTTATATATTTGATGTGATGGATGACCTTGTGTTAGATATCTGATGTGATGGGTGACCTTGTGTTAGATATCTGATGTGATGGATGACCTTGTGTGTTAGATATCTGATGTGATGGATGACCTTGCATGTTAAATATCTACGGTGATAGGTGACCTTGTGTGCTAGATATCTGATGTGATGGGTGACCTTGTGTGTTAGATATCTGCTCTGATGGGTGACCTCGTGTGTTAGATATCTGATGTAATGGGTGACCTCACGTGTTCCATATCTGCTGCGATGGGTGACCTTGTGTGTTACATATCTACTGTGATGGATGACCTTGTGTGTTAGATATCTGCTGTGATGGATGACATTGTGTGTTAGATATCTGCTGTGATGGGTGACCTTGTGTGTTACATATCTGCCGATGTGATGGGTGACCTTGTGTGTTAGATATCTGCTGTGATGGGTTACATTGTGTGTTAGATATCTGCTGTGATGGGTTACATTGTGTGTTAGATATCTGCTGTGATGGGTGACATTGTGTGTTCGATATCTGCTGTGATGGGTGACATTGTGTGTTAGATATCTACTGTGATGGGTGACATTGTGTTAGATATCTGCTGTGATGGATGACATTGTGTGTTACATATCTACTGTGATGGGTGACCTTCTGTTAGATATCTGCTGTGATGGATGACCTTGTGTGTTACATATCTACTGTGATGGGCGACATTGTGTGTTAGATATCTGCTTTGATGGATGAGATTGTGTGTTACATATCTATTGTGATGGGTGACCTTCTGTTAGATATCTGGTGTGATGGATGACCTTGTTTGTTACATATCTACTGTGATGGGCGACATTGTGTGTTACATATTTACTGTGATGGATGACCTTGTGTGTTAGATATCTACCGTGATGGGTGACCTTGTGTGTTACATATCTACCGTGATGGGTGACATTGTATGTTAGATATCTACTGTGATGGGTGACCTTGTGTGTTAGATATCTACTGTGATGGGTGACTTTGTGTGTTACATATCTGATGTGATGGGCGACCTTGTGTGTTACATATATACTGGGATGGGTGACCTTGTGTTACATATCTACTGTGATGGGTGACATTGTGTGTTAGATATCTGCTGTGATGGGCGACGTTGTGTGTTAGATATCCGATGTGATGGGTGACCTTGTGTGTTACATATCTTATGTGATGGGTGACCTTGTGTTAGATATCTGCTGTGATGGATGACCTTGTGTGCCAGATATCTATTGTGATGGGTGACATTGTGTGTTAGATATCTGCTGTGATGGGTGACCTTGTGTTAGATATCTGATGTGATGGGCGACCTTGTGTGTTACATATATACTGGGATGGGTGACCTTGTGTTACATATCTACTGTGATGGGTGACATTGTGTGTTCCATATCTGATGTGATGGGCGACCTTGTGTGTTAGATATCTAATGTGATGGGTGACCTTGTGTTAGATATCTCCTAGGATGGGTGACCTTGTGTTAGATATCTGATGTAATGGGTGACCTTGTGTGTTACATATCTGCTGTGCTGGGTGACCTTGTGTGTTACATATCTGCTGTGCTGGGTGACCTTGTGTGTTACATATCTGGTGTGATGGTCGACCGTGTGTGTTTCATATCTACTGGGATGGGGGACCTTGTGTGTTACATATCTGCTGTGATGGGTGAACGTGTGTGTTACATATCTGATGTGATGGGTGGCCTTGTGTTAGATATCTCCTATGATGGGCGACCTTGTGTTAGATATCTGCTGTGATGGGTGACCTTGTGTGTTACATATCTGCTGTGATGGGTGAACTTGTGTGTTACATATCTGATGTGATGGGTGGCCTTGTGTGCTAGATATCTATTGTGATGGGTGACATTGTGTGTTAGATATCTGCTGTGATGGGTGACCTTGTGTGTTACATATCTGATGTGATGGGTGACCTTGTGTGTTAGATATCTGCTGTGATGGATGACCTTGTGTGTTTCATATCTACTGGGATGGGTGACCATGTGTGTTACATATCTGCTGTGCTGGGTGACCTTGTGTGTTACATATCTGATGTGATGGGTGACCTTGTGTTAGATATCTCCTATGATTTGTGACCTTGTGTTAGATATCTGCTGTGATGGGTGACCTTGTGTGTTGCATATCTGATGTGATTGGTGGCCTTGTGTGTTAGATATCTAATGTGATGGGTGACCTTGTGTTAGATATCTGCTGTGATTGATGACCTTGTGTGTTACATATCTGATGTAATGGGTGACATTGTGTGTAAGATATCTACTGTGATGGATGACCTTGTTTGTTTCATATCTACTGTGATGGGTGACCTTGTGTGTTACATATCTGATGTGATGGGTGACCTTGTGTTAGATATATAATGCTATGGGTGACCTTGTGTGTTACATATCTACTGTGATGGGTGACATGGTGTGTTAGATTTCTACTGTGATTGGTGACCTCGTGTGTTAGATATCTACTGTGATGGGTGACCTTGTGTGTTACATATCTGCTGTGATGGGCGACATTGTGTGCTACATATCTGATGTGATGGGTGACCTTGTTTTAGATATATAATGCTATGGGTGACCTTGTGTGTTACATATCTGATGTGATGGGTGACCTCGTGTTAGATATCTGCTGTAATGGGTGACCTTGTTTTAGATATCTGCTGTAATGGGTGACCTTGTTTTAGATATCTTCTGTAATGGGTGACCTTGTGCGTTACGTATCTGATGTAATGGGTAACCTTGTGTTAGATATCTGATGTGATGGGTGACCTTGTGTTAGATATATTATGCGATGGGTGACCTTGTGTGTTAGATATCTACTGTGATGAGTGACTTTGTGTGTTAGATATCTGATGTGATGGGTGACCTTCTGTTAGATATCCGATGTGATGGGTGACCTCATGTGTTAGATATCTAATGTGATGGGTGACCTCGTGTGTTAGATATCTGATGTAATGGGTGACCTCGTGTGTTAGATATCTAATGTGATTGGTGACCTTGTGTTAGATATATAATGCGATTGGTGACCTTGTGTGTTACATATCTACTGTGATGGGTTACATATCTGATGTGATGTGTGACCTTGTGTGGTAGATATGTGATGTGATGGGTGACTTTGTGTGTTAGATATCTGATGTGATGGGTGACCTGATGTGTTAGATATATAATGTGATGGGTGACCTTGTGTTACATATCTGATGTGATGTGTGACCTTGTGTGTTACATATCTGCTGTAATGGGTGACCTTGTGTGTTAGATATATACTGTGATGGGTGACCTTGTGTGTTACATATCTGATGTGAAGGGTGACCTTGTGTTAGATATCTGATGTAATGGGTGACCTTGTGTGTTACATATCTGATGTGAAGGGTGACCTTGTGTTAGATATCTGATGTAATGCGTGACCTTGTGTGTTACATATCTGATGTGATGGGTGATCTTGTTAGATATCTGCTGTGATGGGTGACCTTGTGTCAGATATCTGCTGTGATGGGTGACCTTGTGTGTTAGATATCTAATGCGATGGGTGACCTTGTGTTAGATATCTGATGTGATGGGTGACCTGATGTGTTAGATATATAATGTGATGGGTGACCTTGTGTTACATATCTGATGTGATGTGTGACCTTGTGTGTTACATATCTGATGTGATGGGTGATCTTGTTAGATATCTGCTGTGATGGGTGACCTTGTGTCAGATATCTGCTGTGATGGGTGACCTTGTGTGTTAGATATCTGCTGTGATGGGTGACCTTGTGTCAGATATCTGCTGTGATGGGTGACCTTGTGTCAGATATCTGCTGTGATGGGTGACCTTGTGTCAGATATCTGCTGTGATGGGTGACCTTGTGTGTTAGATATCTAATGTGATGGGTGACCTTGTGTTAGATATCTGATGTGATGGGCGACCTTGTGTGTTAGATATCTAATGTGATGGGTGACCTTGTGTTAGATATCTAATGTGATGGGCGACCTTGTGTTACATATCTAATGTGATGGGCGACCTTGTGTCTTACATATATATTGCGATAGGTGACCTTGCGTGTTAGATATGTGATGTGCTGGGTGAATTTGTGTTAGATATCCGACGTGATAGGTGACCTTGTGTGTTAGATATCCAACGTGATGGGTGACCTTGCGTGTTAGATATGTTATGTGCTGGGTGACCTTGGGTGTTCGATATGTGATGTGATCGGTGACCTGTGATGGGTGACCTTGTGTGTTACATATGTGATGCGCTGGGTGAATTGTGTTAGATATGTTATGTGCTGGGTGACCTTGCATGTTAGATATGTGATGTGATGAGTGACCTGTGATGGGTGACCTTGTGCGTTACATATGTTATGTGCTGGGTGAATTCGTGTCCTATATATCTGCTGCGATGGTTCACCTTGTTTGTTTGCTTTTTAAGGTAATGGTCATGCGAGCTTGTAGATCCACTGAGGACTTGTACATCTGTATCTGTATTTCACTTACATATGACTACTTGATGGAACTTTGTGGCTGGACATGTATTGTGAGGGAGTATCACAGACCCAATGATCCCCTTGATCATTGACTTAAGGACTTCATCCATCTCGCCACCTGAAAGATGGAACTGTCGAACTGCCCTCGTCAAAATGTAATGGACTTTAATCCCATCTACCGTAAGGTTATCTGCAAGGGAACATTCTCCAATTATTAAAGTAAATTAATGCAGCATCCAAAATGATTAAATATTTCAAATCTGAGCCATTGTTTATTGATAATGCTACGATTTTAAGATTAATTTGATTTTATCCAGATCAAATGTTTGGAGTTATACGAGCCTTTTAACATTGTTTTAAACTCCATAAGGCCTCTTACTGGCAGAACAGAAATTGGTTCAGTGGTCTGAAAACAGAAATGGAAATCCCCTACACATACTACTACCAAACTCTACTATTGTGCAACATTAATAATAATTTGAGGTTCTTATATACAGCTTTATCACATCCCAACTTGTAGGACGTCTTAAAGTGGTTCACAAATTATTACCCGTGGTTATAGGGCATTTGGAATCGGCCAATATCTTTCTCAACTCACTGGGGAGCATACAGCCGGTGCTGCCATTTTGGTGCTCACATCTAGCATTCTACAATTCTAGCACTGCCCAAACCGCGTATTCATTTTCATCTGAGTAGTAGACTGGAACAAGCGAAGTAAAGTATCTTGCTCAAAGATACAACACAGTGCTGTGCCGTGACTCGAACCCGCAACCCTTTGGTCACGATCCCGGCGTCCTACCACTAAACTACCATGTCTCCTTAAGATTGATAGTAGTATGTATGGTTACCCAAAACATAAATCTCTACAGTACCAACACTTACTTCTGATAGGACCATCAGGAAATCCTCTGAAGAAATCGCCTAGTACATCATACATCCAGCACTCCACGAGATCCCTTATGTCCCTGTCATCATCATCATCACTGTCAGACCCAGGTGCTTTAGTACTTGCTGGGGTTCCTGTGGGGCTACTGTCAGTGGTAAAATCATTGTCTTTGCTATTAAACCGTTCTAGTATTCGACTAAGATTTCCTAAAAGCTCGGCCACTTTTCTACGGTTGGTCTCTTCCCTCAAATTTGCGACTGGCTCATCAGTTGGAGGGGGTACTCCAGTAAAGGGTCCACCTGTAATGGGTCCACCGGTAAAGGGTCCACTGGTAAAGGGTCTATCAGGTCCACCAGTAAAGGATCCACCGAGTCCACCAGTAAAGGATCCACCGGGTCCACCAGTAAAGGATCCACCAGGTCCACCTGTAAAGGGTCTATTAGTAATGGGTACACCGGTAAAGGGTCCACTGCTAAAGGATCCACCGGGTCCACCGGTAAAGGGTCCATCAGGTCCACCAGTAAAGGGTCCACCAGTATAGGTTCCACCAGGTACTTCACTGGTTGGTTTGGTATGTTTTGGGCTATAGGTTGGTTTGGTACCGTCAGTGTTATATGAACTGATGGCATTTTCTTTATACTGTTCTTCCACTATTTGGCGAAGTTCTCGTAAAAGCTGTGAAAGTTCTCTGTCGTCCTCATCGCCTTTTGGTAAGTTTGTGACCGGCTCACCAGTCGGAGGGGACAACGAAGGGTTTACTGAAGGCGGCGGTCCAGTAAAGGGTCTATTGGTTATGGGTCCGCCTGTAATGGGTCCACCGATAAAGGGTCCACTGGTAAAGGGTCCATCAGGTCCACCGGTAAAGGATCCACTGGTAAGGTGTCCATCAGGTCCACCAGTAAAGGATCCACCGGGTCCACCTGTAAAGGGTCTTTTAGCAATGGGTCCACCGGTAAAGGGTCCATCAGGTCCACCAGTAAAGGATCCACCGGGTTCACCGGTAAAGGGTCCATCAGGTCCACCAGTAAAGGATCCACTGGGTCTACCTGTAAAGGGTCCATTAGTAATGGGTCCACCGGTAAAGGTTCCACCAGGTACTTCACTGGTTGGTTTGGTATGTTTTGGGCTATAGGTTGGCTTGGTACCGTCAGTGTTATATGAACTGATGGCATTTTCTTTATACTGTTCTTCCACTATTTGGCGAAGTTCTCGTAAAAGCTGTGAAAGTTCTCCGTCCTCATCGCCTTTTGGTAAGTTTGTGGCCGGCTCACCAGTCGGAGGGGACAACGAAGGGTTTACTGAAGGCGGCGGTCCAGTAAAGGGTCTATTGGTTATGGGTCCACCTGTAACGGGTCCACCAGTAAAGGGTCCACTGGTAAAGGGTCCATCAGGTCCACCAGTTAAGGATCCACCGGGTCCACCAGTAAAGGGTCCATTAGTAAAGGGTCCATCAGGTCCACCATTAAAGGGTCTACTGGTAAAGGGTCCATCAGGTCCACCAGTAAAGGGTCTACTGGTAAAGGGTCCATCAGGTCCACCAGTAAAGGGTCTACTGGTAAAGGGTCCATCAGGTCCACCAGTTAAGGATCCACCGGGTCCACCAGTAAAGGGTCCACTGGTAAAGGGTCCATCAGGTCCACCAGTAAAGGGTCCACTGGTAAAGGGTCCATCAGGTCCACCAGTTAAGGATCCACCGGGTCCACCAGTAAAGGGTCCATTAGTAAAGGGTCCATCAGGTCCACCAGTAAAGGGTCCACTGGTAAAGGGTCCATCAGGTCCACCGGTAAAGGGTCCACTGGTAAAGGGTCCATCAGGTCTACCAGTAAAGGATCCACCATTTCTTTTTTCAGGGGTGTAGGTCTCTCCTGTTTGAGGGTGGTATAACGGGTTCCAGGAAGGGGAAGAGTTACTATTTCGCTTTGCCTTGTCATTCCAATATTTCCATTCCTGTTGTGCACGCTCTGAAAGGTGCAGGGAATCTAAAAACTTGGCAAGGAGATGTCGCCGTGGTAGAGAATTCGCCCCGTAGACTGGAATACAGAAATATATGTACTAAATGATAATACAACCGTACTTTGGAGTAAGCAGAGAGTGCGTGGTGGCAGGATCAAGTGCATGTCCGTGTATATAGTGTTCATTCAAACTTATTGTTTAATACTGCAAAGGAGGCCCAATTTCAATGTGTTCTCAAACTTCAAAAAAAATTGGGCCCTTAAAAATATGAAAACTCAGCACATTGCTTACGCTAGTGTAACCTTATAATAGTCAACAGCCTATAAGGCATCGTGGTATAACATTGCTCAAAAACTATTAACAGAATCCAATAAGATGTTTTTGGACACTAAAATTTTCAAAATGTGGTTCAGCACATTGCTTACATGCCTATATAAAAATGACTAAATCTTATAATAGTCAACAAGTATTTAGACTGGAAGTTCAACACTGCACAAAACAAATTCTTAAAAACCTTGGGGCCAGGTGAGCTAAAAACCTTGGGGCCAGGTGATCTAAAAACCTTGGGGCCAGGTGAGCTAAAAACCTTCGGGCCAACTGTGCTACACTACAGTTATGCCAAAAACAAGGAAGGTAAGGTCACTGTTTACACAACCACAGTGCAGCGGGACAGAGATCCTAAAGTTCAACAGTCAATTCGTAGAATTTACCCTGCTTTCAGGGCTAAATGTGACTGCTCAAGTTCATTGTTGGGATTTGGCGTAGCTGTACGGTGTTGGACTTGCTTATACAGAGGTTGACCAGGGCATTTTGAAAAAAGGAATCAAAATCAAATTTGGGAAAATCGGCAAACCAAGTGTAATAGGATGAGAAATAGTGATAAAGATAGTAGTGCCGTCCCTGGGGGCTCGAACCCGCGACCCTTGGCTTTCCAGTCTGATGCTCTACCGCTGAGCTAAAGGGAAATTCCCTACAGCTGACGCTTGTAAGGCAACCTAATTTATACACATCTTTTACACTATTCCACCCTTTTATCAAACACCAACCCAGGTTCTTTGACTTCCCACCAAGGTTCTCCTACCTTGAACGGGGAGGGTCAACGGCACTTATTTGTAATAGGACGAGGAATAGTGATAAAGATAGTGCCGTCCCGGGGCTCGAACCTGTGACCCTTGGCTCTCCAGCCCGATGCTCTACCGAATCACCAAAGAGAACAAGAGGCCCATGGGCCTCAACAGTCACCTGATATATTTATACAGAGAGTTGATTTTGTTTTTAACATGCACAGAAATATTTTTCAAAGTGACAAAAAACAATAAAACCACCTTATTCAATATCTAGCATACAGATTTAAGTATTTGAAACTAGCACCTCTGATTCTAAACGAGGAAAATGAAGAACTTTTAGCACACTGACTCCTTTGGGCCCCACCCCACAGCCCTTGGGGGTAGGGCTGGCTCAAAATTTTCAAAGTATCAAACTGTCAACTCAAGGTTATAATTCCAATCAAGTTATTAACATGTAATATTCAAAGTATACTAAATAGGCATGTAACAGAATGGCAACTAAACTTGGCTCTTACCTACCTATTATGCGCATACAGAATTTAGCTGAAATCGTGACAATTTTTGGGGTGTTATTGTTACTAAAGTGATACAGAGAGATTCTCATGCATCAAATTAATATCCTAGTACCTGGGCCGGGGTAAAAAACATCTCATAGGGCAAGTGCAATACAGGATTGTCTTTCCCAATTGGTTCCCACATTTCAAATTTGGTAGTGGTTGTTTGGGGGAGATGTGCACACCCTCCCCACCTGTGCACGATATCAATACATATGCAAGAATTTCAATTAGCAGTCTAAAAAATTCTAATTTCCAAAACGGTCAACAGGGACAACACCTTTGATTTATATTTGATTTCCTTAGTTTACAATTGTAACAAATTCTCAGGTCCCTGCGGTTTATAACACTAAAAACTAATTAGAATATGGTTACCTTAACGGTTACCTTAACTGTCGGGACACATTTTTCTATCCTGAACCAGTGGCGGATTTTTGGGCTTCAGGAACCCCCCCACCCGAGAATTTTTTTTAAAAATCATGTATTTTCACCATTTCCTCAATTTGTCCACACATGGAACCCCACCCCCCAGGAAATTTGGAACATGTTTTAGGGGTTTTGATCGACTTTCGGTAAATTTGACATCCCCATTGATCATATATACGTGAAATTACTCTGAACACCTTATAGTTGAGGTCCTAATGAATAATTCAGAAATATATTTCGAGAATGCAAATCATTCATTTCTTTCTAATAAAACATACCAACCGAATGACAGAACCAGGCGGATTTAGGAAACCTGTAACGTCTCAGAAATCACGGATAAACACACCTATCAATACAGTACCCACCGCATGCAGTCATCCCTACAAGGATCAGAACGGTAGATAACATTTCCTCACGTGAGCAGACGTTCCGGCGACAAAATCCAACTAACAGTTTGGCACACGTGCACGTGTCTTTAATTATAGCCTGTTTCGACGACTCTTTCACTCATTGGCTCCGGTCTTTCATGTGTTCGTGCTTTTCGTGATCGTTTTACACGTGAAAATTATTCTAATTCATCGAGGACATCGATAGTACGCATGCGCTGATTATTTGCACGTGTTCCCAGTTGATAATAAGAAGAAAAAAACATGTTAGCAAGAAGATCCCAGTCGTTATAAGACATCTACGTTTACGGTGCTGACGTCAGCCAAAATTGTGAAAATGTACCGAAATGTTTTTTAAAATATCTTCTTCTTCTTTTACAAGGATCACACTCAAAGGTTTGAGTGCACTTGATCCTGGGAGGTGGCATTAAAAATGTTAAAAACAATTATTTTTGTTAATTTGTACTATAAGATAAAAAACAGAAAACACTTTATGGAAGGTTGAAACTAGACAGGGCAGACCTGAAAGAGTTCAGGTTTGGCTCCTGTGCTAGGGATGATGGTAGCGAATTCCAGTATAAGATCCTTATCGTTCTGTATGTTTGTTTGGGAGGGAATGACATTCGAGGCGAATCCTGTCCAGCGGTACAGCCAACGACATCAAGTCTGTGGTCGGATGCGATCAAGGCATGCGGACAGTTCTAGTACAGTCGATCGTTACCAGAGGGAAACTTCGAGGAAACTTGACATTCGAACAAACAAGAAACTACAGAAGTTTTTTAACACAAGTTACGTGAAATTTTAAAAAACAGATATTATTAAGACACATCTTGGACAATACTTATCTTCTATAGTGTACAGCATTGTTATAGAATTGATACTATTATGTTTAACAAAATTGAATAACTAACATTTTAACTTATGTGTTTTGAAAAGTAATTTCAAATGTTCTGAATATTTCCTGTCAAATTTATAAATATATGACCTTAACAACACAATTTTATGACATGAATAGAATTAATTATTGAGACTGATTATTAGATTTCTAACTGCTTGAGTCGCATGTATATGTGTTTATGATAAGACGAGTTCGTTTTAGCAAAGAGATGGTAAACTTTATATTTTTTTATAATTCATTTCAGATTAATTATGAGACACTTAACCAGTTTATGATTGCATGCAACTTGACTCTAATTATTTAACAGTGTCGATAATATGTTTCAAGGTGTGTTTATTTTATTAGTGAAATAAATAAATATCAAGTCTCCCTATTGTGTCTGTACTGATAAACCACAAAGTTAAAAGACAGGTGAATAAAGGAATGAATGAAACACGGAGTCCGATCCTCCCCGATCAATATCAATAAGCAATACTCTTTTTTAGTTTCAATTCTTTTATCAAATATACCTTATACCCGATAAGTATAATTAAATATATATATAAAAAGTCCGATCCTGCCCCGTTTCTGCCCGTTCCTGTAAATCGTCGCCCGTTCTTGCCCGATCCATATCAATACAATACTCTTAATTCGTTGAATCCTATTATAAAATATATCTTATACCCGATAATAATAATTAAATATATCTAATATACATATCTTATACCCGATAAAAAAGATATAATAATATATATATATATATATAAAAAGTAGTCCGATGCTGCCCTGATTATGTAATTGCAATTCTTTTATCAAATATACCTTATACCAGATAAGTATAATTAAATATATATAAATCAGTCCGAACCTGCCCCGTTTCTGTCCGTTCCTGTAAATCGTCGCCCGTAATAACGACATAAATTTATATAATTTAGTCCGATTCTGCACCGATCATGTAATTGCAATCCTTTTATCATATATATCTTGTACCCGATAATGATAATTTAACATATCTAATATATATACCCATATTTATATTATTAATATATATAATTTCTGCCCGTTTCTGCCCGTTCCTGTAAATCGTCTGACCGCTTATACTTAGGGGGAAAACATATCGTTTCATATCATCTCCACTTATGCATGTAAAATAAATCTGCCCAAACCCATTATATCCATACACTCAGAAATAGCCTTACCGACCTAACGTTATACAGTTCTGATAAATAAAATGTTTTTCTATTTTGTTTTAAAACTACATATCTACTCCATAGGGCGATACATTCATTTTACCAGAGTACTTGTTTACCAAAAGTCGTCAAAAAAGAAAAGATAAAAATATTTTCGGATAACTGTTATCACTTTAGCATACCTAACAATCGCACCTTGCTTACGCAAAAAAATGCGTAACCAATATCTTTGTACATTTCTTATGGAAACAGGGAACAAAAAACAGTTATCAAATTTAGCCAAATATATTAAACTGAGTAATAAGAAAAGAAAAGACTATGTACCTATATAAAGAGGGATGTCTCTCTACACTATACCAATGGGTATGTGTGGGTGTATTTGTGGGTGTGGGTGTATTTGTGGTTGTGGGTGTGTATATGGTAGCTGCGGGAACCGTAGCTTCTATGTCCGATTTAAAAAAAAAAAATTTTTATTGTTGGACCATTTATGGTCCGATAACAATAATAATTATAAAAAAATCGGACATAGAAGCTACGGTTACCGCAGCTATGTCTATGGGTGTGAGTGATTGTATTGTTTATCCTTGTATATATATGTTTATTTTGAAATGATGAGCCGTAAGGTTCAAGGTAATAAAGAACTGAACTGAACGGAATTTCAGTATGAACTTCCAGTAATGTGTAAAATGTATAAAACAATGGTGAGAAATGAAGAATTTATTTCAAAACGTTTCACTTATAATGAATGCTATTTATTAAAAACTAATAATTCAACAATTTACAATTAACTATTTTGCGGTGCATATATGTTACAATAAATAAACCGAAAGTTATTAAATACCTAAAACCCAGAACAATTACAAAATAACATTAATATACACGTTTGTATTGACCATACTTAAAATTCCATCCCTATGAGGCTATATATCTTAGTAATGTATAATAATGTACAGAAATGGTTGAATCAGTTAAACAAGTTTGTAGATTTGTATTTGAATATGCTATGGACAGGTTGTTCATTTGTATAAATCGTTCGTAACTTCGTATAGCCAGTGTTGAAAGTTACTTTTTGTTGATTGGTAAACTTCGGGATATTTCGATAGTATTTACTATTGAAGACCATGTGACAAAGTTGACCTTTTAATAAGATATTTGTATCGTATATCCGTAACGTATCGTGTGGTACGCGTATCGTTGCAGCCCTATAGTTATATACAATCATCCTAGATACTCAGAGGTAACGTACACGTGCAGAGAGCGAAAAGGAGTGTAACCCATTGAGTATCGAGGATGGTACATAATGTATACAGTCAAATCGACACAATGTTTTTTTTTTTTTTATATATATATATTTGATTTTAATCTTTCGACCAATTTTACACTTACTGGTTGTATTATGGATATGTTTCGATAAATTAAGTGGTTTTTTCTGTTAATCTTTTGTTTAAAGTACCACTGCACAAGGTATACTCACGAAGAAGAATTCCACTCGAAGTTGGGCTTTTTTTTACTTGGAGTATTCTACCCTCTATATAAAAGCTGAAGCAACACCAAAAGAGTTTTTCTGGCTTAAGTAAATTCCCGTCAAGTTTGTAATGGGCTTTGCGGCCCATAAATTGGATAAAAAGTGTATTTTTTTCCCTTGCAATGAAAATTCCTAGATGGCTAGGTTGATAAAGCATAGGATTGTATAGTCAATAACGCATATGATATTGAGTACATCCGATCACAAACAGTGCGGAAATATCCCCCGAGAGTTGTGTTCTTTGTACTTTACGAGGAAGATATAAACAATGATTATGTTACCGCTTTTCACAATTGACCATGTCGACCATACACTCCTGAGTTTGAAGTCAAGGAGGCCACAGACTCTTGTACTTAAGCTGCATTCCTCAGTGTTTGCCTACAACTTAAACAATTGGTATGACTTAGCGCGGGACGATTTCCCGATCGTGAACATCCGATTTCTTGATAGTAACATCCCGACTTCATACGAATCGGTATTCAAGAGCTTCCTTTGAATAATGCGATTTCCGTGATAGATCTTCACTACTGAAATTGAAGACACAAGTTTTCAGAAGTTGCAGGTTGTCAGGCGCGTAGCTGCCTGTACGCTTTTAGTTTTGTTTGTGTTTGTGTGTTTTTCAATTTGGTCGATTTCTGACTGGCATCTTACACTAGTGACATATGTAAAAATATTACACGGGCGAATTCACTTGATAACAGGCCGATTATGTGATAAAATATAATTTAGTGCAAATTAAACTACAAGTTGTTATGATCTTCTTACATTGGATTTTAGGGTCAAGAGGTCATGGTGAATATGCAAGATTCAAAAGGAGAAGAGTTGTGTCACAAACATTTAAACCGACATCCACAATAAACTATCTAAACCCTATCCATACCTACAGTACTTTGTGTGGTACTAAAGGGGATAAAGGCTGAGTTTATCATAGGCTGAAATGGAGGTAGTCCTATAGCTGGTGGCACATACTGTCTTGAATGTTTTGTGTATCCATGAAAAGAAAAACTGTAAAACTTTCTTCCACTAACATGTTTAATTGAAATACACAAGTATGTTCACTTAATTATGAATTGTACAACAACCTTTTATAATAGTAACAACGTCAAACAGCGTGAATCAGACCAGCTATGGTAATCAACCCTTTGGTCAGATTCTGAAAGGTAAATATTTTTGCCCAACATATCCATATTAAACAAGTAGGATGAACATAAAAACAATCTAAAGACCAAGACAAGTTAAAAAGACATATTCCTGTCAATTTATATATCAAATATATAAATATGTATAATTGCATAAAATGAAGTCACTTCATAATTTTATTAAACATTTATTAAAATATTCCATAAGGCAAGAGATTGTGGTTATCTTTCATGTAAGAAAACTATCTCTTATGTTGTTTGATAATGAAGTTGAACTATTAAAAATATCTAAAAATGAAGCAAGTAACTGTAAAAAATAATAAAATAATATTTTCTTTAAAAATATATCTGAGAGGAATGGAGAAAAGAGAGTGCATTAAAATAGATGTGTAAGAAACCTAGTACATGTTAGTGTGACTAAAAGATACACTGTATATATATGATATGACATAACTCAAAGAGGATACCAAAAGTACAGACAGAGAGAAAAAGAAGTCCACCAGGCATATTAACTAAATTTCATAAGACTGTAACCATCAACAACCACAGTCCAATCAGTGTTAACATAACATAGTAGGAAAGGTTCAAATCTCACTCTAAAAAATTGATTTTGAATGAAAAATGAATATTAATAACACTTGTTTTCTCCTTCACCTTGTGACTTTGACATTAGGTGAGCAAACATGAATGATATATATGTACTTCATAACATCATACACAACCCTTCAAGAGTGGTGAGTAACGTCCAGTGACCTTGGACAGGGTTTTAAATATTATTTTATTAAAATCTGAAGAATCATGTACAGAGTGAAGCCTTGGTCAAGAAAACATTTATGCTCAAACTAATCAGGAATTGTTATCGGTTAAATGTCAGATATCTTAAAAATGTAAACGTTGAGTATCCCTCCCTATATTAGTTTACATCTTAATCACAGCCAATGATAAAAACATATATATTCACTTACAGTGTCACATAACACTGAAAATCAGCAGAGGTATTCTAAATTGTATCTTTCTCCCTCCATACATTTCAGTCTGATTTTGACCCTTTGACAATAAAGACCTAGTATGAAATCTGAAGTACCTGTACATTTATAGGTCTAAACAACCATCCTGTTAAACCTGATGTCAGATCATTAATTAAAGTTTTAATTAAATAACGGTTTTCTTACTTACTATTTTTCTTTCTTTATTAGCAAAATTGTATTTTATTAAGACTGAAATAAATTCAGGTATGTGGCACAATAAAATTGCCAAAAAAGAAACTTTACAATTTGTCTCATTTTAATGTGAATACTACCAAGTTAAAATCAAGATTTCTAACCTTATGGACAAACCTAAAATTGAAACTGCTGTGTGCTCAAAGCAGTATCGTGAACAGTCTACTGTGGTCAATTTTACTGTAAGCAACATCACTGACAGTAACGTTGATTGACTTATGTAGAAAAGATAAATTCATTTAAAGCTGTTAATACTAAAATTATACTGGTACTTCAGAGGATTCAGGAACAGTGTGTGATGCCGCCAAAAGCACAATTCTTTTGTCTACATACAGGGATATAATTAGAGATTTTTTTTATCATTCCTGTAAGATAATATTATATACATACTTTCTCAGTATGACTGGGTTTCAAACTTCAGAAAGCACTGATAAAAAGTTTAGGGTCAGAGGTAAAATATAACAAATGGTCAGGATACCATAAACCAACATATATTTTTTTTGCACAACAATGACAATTTGTAAAACTGATCAAGGTATTAAAACTCTAGCTAATTAGAATTAATTAATTTTGTCAAAAATTATATTAAAACATACATCATAGATTATCATGCAATTTAATATTCTAAAAGAATTTGTCAACAATTGCAAACTCAAAAGAGTCATCAATACTATCAAAGTCAATAACCGGTTAGTCACAGACCTTCACACTCAAAAGAGTTTGTCGCCATTTTAAATAGAGTATTCCATTCTCCTGTTTTACATTCTGGCTTACACATTCATTAGAACATCAAATTTTCCATTATAACGACCTTCTTTGAAACTGTTTAAATATATCATAACTTTTTCTTTTAAAATCAATAGAAATTTTATTCTCAGATTAAATCATTTAATTGAATTTAACTGGAGGAGAGGGTAGAATCCAATGGTTTAGCATAGTGTAATATATGTACCCAACTACAAAAAATACTTACAAACTGATTCTATACTTTAGATAGCATGCGTAAATAATTAACAAGGACAATATACTGTACACTAGGTAGCATCTCCTGTACAAATTCCATCAAAATATGGTTAAAATGGTCCTGTTTTTATAAAATAATCATAAATGCATGTTCTTTGTTCTACCGGTTTTTATACAATGGAAAAGGTGACATCTAATACAAATTCTTAGTTTCAAATTTTGATAAAGGCATTTAATGCAATATTTTCTGTTTGCCAAAATTGTGCTTTAAAATCCACTTCAACTTCTTGTTAATGTTCTTGCCATTATATAATCATCATCAATCTGGAATATCTTCATCAGTATAAAAACTTGTACCGAAAGCAGTTCATTTCAAATTGTCGTAATTTTTGTCACTATAAAAAAACTTGGATGAAAGTAATGAACAACATGATGATGTAAATTACAGTAAAAGTAGTATATCCCTATTAACCTTTAGAGTAAATATCATTATAGTGTACAACATTAAAATCCTAACCAGACACCTTAAGTGTTTCCTGCTGGTCCAATATAGTACATAAACGATTACGATATTCTTTGTATAGTATATCACGGGTTAATGTTTTTAATGTTAATTATGCTTTTTTGAATTATTTTTTCCAGCCGACACATCAATGAAACATCAAATTTCAGTTCCATTTAAATAATATAAGGAATTACATTTTGTTATTTACTAAGAAACCAACAGATTTAAGGTCTAAATAATGAAGTTTTGCCGTAAAGCTAGTCTCTCACATATATGCGAGAGTTTTCCTAATTATAGACATAAAGCTACATCTATCCCTCGGTACCAGCCTAGGCACATGTCAAAAGCACTTCATGTTGGTATGTCTGTCCATAGGTACCAGCTCAGGTGTTAGTAACTCCTCGTGTTGGTATGTCTGTCCATAGGTACCAGCTCAGGTGTTAGTAACTCCTCGTGTTGGTATGTCTGTCCATAGGAACCAGCTCAGATGTTAGTAACTCCTCGTGTTGGTATGTCTGTCCATAGGTACCCGCTCAGCTGTTAGTAACTCCTCATGTTGGTCATGACCAGGCCCACATAAACACCTACGATGATCATGGACACGACAATGCTTGCAACACCAGCAAAGATGGCTATGTTAGAAAGCTGACGAGCTGAGTTGGAACTTGATCTTGCACCTTGAAAGTCACCACGGGCATAGGCATTTTTCGCCTGAAATTATTTCAATTTTTGAACATATAAGGTACATGGATCACATACAAATTCCATCTCAGTCTAAACATACAGTGTATTAGTGCAATATATCTGCCTCTCAATAATCATAAACTGCATTTGTAGTCAAGTGGAATGCTCAAAACTCAACACCAGACAACATATACACAGGGTTTTGGCCGGTATTTTGGGAAAGGGTCCCTGAGCAGGAATTGGGAATAAAGCATCGGCATTTGGCAAAAATTGGAAAATTTCATCGGTATTCCCACATGTACAGGTTTGAAAAAATATCATAAGTTTGGAAAAATTGAACCTGCAATTTGATAGTTTTCCTCTAGCTGTTTGTTAACATAAAATGTATAGCAATAAATAAACAAATCAATTATCAGTGTTCTTGTTATTCAATTTCACAAATTTTGCTATTTATGTATTTGAATGCTCCTTCGTGAACGGTAATACTTTAAGCATTGCACATATTACGACTTGAAATTTGTATTTATACACATGCTTTTTAATCCAATTGGGAAAATAAAGTTGGAAATTGGGAAAATGCAGGGTCATTTTTCAATTGGGAATGGGTCCCTGTATACGTACCGGACCCTATAAACATCTGGCAAAACCCCTGAATTACATAGACTTATGTAGGATAAGGGTTATACATATTACAAGTGGGAACCTCAGTAATACCAGTAAACTGTAATCTCAAATATATCTACAGCATCATTATCTCTGGGGGATAATTTGTATATATGTCCTCTCGAAAAAGAGAAATATAATATACATACATCAAGCTGATCTACACTGACAATTAATCATCTTACCTGATACCTATGCATGTAGATTAAGTTAATTAATATATTTTAACACAAATGGAACAGATGTTTTAATGATTTATATGATGTTTTGAATTGACTTGCAATTTTGATTTTTTCCTACATACCTCACTGGCTTTCATGATGGCGAATATTCCCACAGGCCAGAAGCAGCAGATGGTAGTGAAGATTGCCCTGTTCATGAAGTCGGGTGGAGGAGGTTCCGAAAATGTCTGAGGCGGAGGTACCACATGTATCTATTGAACAATAGCAACTTTTGTCAAATAAAAAACTGAAGTTATATATATTCCATTTAGAAAATGTCCATACATAAATGCGGCATTATGCCCCCTAAACCTTGAAGTTGGTATACTAATGAAAATGGATCTGTTGACAAAATAGGGGTGGATGACCTATAAAGAAAAGTGACCTTGGGACTCATTCAAATTTTTCTTACAACATAAAATAAGGTCAAGGTTATTTCTTTATTGCACTCCATTTTTCATTTTTTGCAAGCTGCTGGCATATATATCATGACTATTGGCTTTTTGTTCTGCAGAAAAAGCCTTATTTTGAATTTGAACAGGCTAATCAAGTCATTACTCTTTTCAAACTTTCTAGCACTCATTACAGGCAAATGCAAGCCAATTGCTATGACTTTAAGCCTCTTCGTGTTTTTGAAGATACAGGTCTAGTGTTTAAATATATACATGTATATTTGACCCCTGTAACCTTGAATATCAGTTTAATTCCTTTCTTTTCCAAAGCTTTTAGCGTTCCATATGCATGCTGGCAAGCTACATTCTGTATCATATATCACAAATCTAAGCCTCTAAGTTCTTCAATAAAAAGTCATTTGAATTTTAACAGATTTGATGCACGTCATCCATTATTCAAGGTCATTCCTTTTCACAAAGTCTGTTGCCCTATCTGGTTCCAGCAAGATACTGAATGCATATAACAAACCTAGGGCTTTTGATTCTTTAGCAGGAACTGTTGGAGTGTTTTAACATATATTTGACCCATGTGATCTTGAACACAAGAGGTCCAGAGGGTCTGTATCGCTCACCTGGATATCTAAGCAATCATGGCAACATATTCTTCAATTAAGATCTCAGGGATAGGGCCAAACCCCAAGGCCTACCCATTTGTAGCAAATCTGTATTGGATTTTTCATGTCCAGTAATTATATTGTGGTTATGGGGTGGGGATCTCAACTGTTTCCAAGTTGTGACTCAGAAACTAGGTCCCTAGGATTGTGGCCAGGCCCCAGGGTCAATTCTAATAGCATGACTGCATTTGTCTTTTCATGCCCAACAACTGTTTATATAGTTTTGGGGTGGGGATCGCAACCGTTTCAAAGTTATGACCCAGGGGTTAAGTCTTCAAGGGTGGGGTAGGACCCCAGAACAATCCTGGAAATATATGTGCATTCGTCTCTTTATACTCAGCAATTGTATTATAGTTTTGGTTGAAATCTGAACCGCTTCAAAGTTAGGACACAGGGGTTTTAAAGTCTGCAAGGGTGAAGCAGACCCTGAGGTCAATTCTAATATCATGACTGCACTTGTCTCACGGACAACAGACGGATGCCACGGAATGACATAAGCTCACATTGATCCTTCAGACCCGGTGAGCTTGTAAAAAGTCAAGGTTATTTCTTTTCCAAATCTCTGTCACACTCCATACCAACATTGTCCAGGCCACATATCATGATTGCAGGCCTTTCGGTTTTCAGCAGAAGCAGTTAAAGTGTTTAACAGATTTGACCCCTATAACCTTCAATACAGGTCAATATAATTTCCTTTTGTTAAAAGTCATGCCAGCAACTAACAGGTTAATCATGATTCTAGGCCTCTAGTTACTACATAAAAAGCTGTTTATAAGTATTTCAAAAGATCTGATATCTGTGACCTAGAATATATAGGTCAAGCTCATCTCTTTTCTCCAACTCATTCCTACTCTGTGCCTGCAAGATACTGGCCATATATATCATGACTCCTAGGCTAGATCTTTTGATTTTTCAGAAGAAATTGTTCGAGAGGTTAACAGTTTTAACCCAGTGACCTTGAATACTGATCACGGTCATTTCCTTTTCACAGGATATACCAGTAGTTGAACTGTAGCATAACATGTCAGCTAGCTATATATACTGGCATGCATCTTGAATTCAAGCCTTTTGGTTCTTCAGAAGAAGCTGTTCGAATGCAAAAATTCCTTGCATAAAACCAATAAACGTGAAAATGTGTTTATTACCTGTGTCTGTCCCGGTGCCATCTGAGGTTGGAAATGTGGATGTTCAGTTTGGTACATTGGGGCAGTTGGCACGGAATTATAGCCAGGTGGAGGAGGCTGATACTGGCCCTGGGGTGGGTAGCTTGGAGGAGGCTGATACTGACCCTGGGGCGGGTAGCTTGGGGGTGGACCTGAGAAACATTAAAGAAGTACATAACACTTTTAAAGTATGATACAGTTGAACATTGTTCATCTCCTTGGTCAATCATATAAAAATTGTATTTATAAAAAAATGTCCTAGATATCCTGTCTCCTCATATACAGATGGCAGGATTGTTGGTAAATCGAGTATTTGAGATAAAATGTATACAATGTACAATGTATATATTTTGTTACTCCAAAAGTTCACATGTACAGTAAATTGAAGTGATGTAATGTTTATCATCCTTATTCAATACCAGAACCCAATATGAGTTAAGGAACTTATAATTACTGCTTTTGATGTGTTTAGCAACAATTGAACTACTATACTATGGCCTGGGCCCTTATTCATGAAACCGTTCTCATGCTCAAGCATGGAATTTGTGCGCAAGCCTAATTTTAAGTTAATAATAACATCTTACTTTGTCAAAGAATTGAAAAAAATTAAAGAGACTTAGAGCCGAATACAGTTTTCAATGTTTACATTTGACATTTTTACTGTTTGACATGATTTGAGTGAGTTACAAGAAAGTTGTTTGAGCACATAATCCATGCTTGAGCATGAGAATGGTTTTATGAATACAGGCCCTGGCTTCCTATTGGTCAAGATGTAGATAGTGTCCTATTTCAGTCATTTTTATAATCAGGGATGTACAATCCCACTATACGGACGCCCAGAACAATTATTTTTTGTCAGAGCTACTACTACCAGGTTTTAAGATAGGTCAGGCTTGTTATTTTCATTTTTTGTATAGGCCAAGTTAATAACTGAAATAGCAACACATGTACAGGGACAGCTGGCATTATACACAGATACACAGATTTATTCTGACTGTAGGAAATTGTACAATTTCTTCTGCTGTCAGCTCAATTATAAAAGTTACAATAGTACATATAGTACCTTGGTTAAACATATTAATAACATGGTTTCTGAGTATTTTTTGCGAGAGCTGCACAGTTCCATAGAGAACAGATGTTCAATGATTATATTACAGTAACATTGTGAATTGAATGAGCGTGGTTCAAAAATAACATGAGGCCCATGGGCCTTAACGGTCACCTGACATCCGATTCAAATTAGGACTGTCATCCAGGGGCCAATTCATACTTTTCGTCGGTCTGAGTGACCTTGCTGCATCGTCCATTAATTTTTCCTTGTGAACACAATAACTTCAGTAAATATGAACCGATTTTGATGCAGCTTTGTATCAATGAGATCTTGGATGAGTTTGAATACCGACCAATTTGACCACAACTTACATAGTTATTCCCCTTGGCAGTGACGTATAATACGTCTCTGCCCTTGGTATTTCTGTTATTGTTGGACCCTGTGAGCACGATAAATGAAATAAATGGGTGTGACTCCAATTTTGACCCAAGGAGTCTGTTTTGAACAAACTTGGTAACTGTATGTCTTCTGTTCTTGGTTAAAAGAAACAAGTAAAAGCGTAAATCAATGATTTATAAAATAAGGCACAACATTTTAATAGCACCTTGCATTTTGTTAGTAGCAAAAATGTGTCATGAATGAAAACAAGAGGCCCAGGGGCCTTAATAGCTCATCTGGTATTTTATTTTTCAATTTAAAACCTGCTGAGTACCATTCAGGTTTATCAAAGAAGTACAAGAAGCAAAGTTGCAAGAAGAACTACATATAAATTTGTTTTGGTGGGAAAGACACCAAGAAAATGAGTTGCCATGTTATGTCCCAATTTTCCTCTATTTCCCCTATTGGGCCTCACATGCACCTTTTTATACAAATTAAACAAATTGAGTTTTTTTCCCCTAAGCATGCTTCAGACCACATTTGGGAAATCCCTTCATTTGTACAGAAGGGAAAATATATTTCTCTATTTCCCCTATTGGGCCCTGCTACTCTGCCTGGTTGGCGGGGAACACATCTTCCATTTATAAATATTCAATTCCCTTTGCCCCTAGGACAAGTTTGGTTAGGTTAAAATCCCTTCAACGGTACAGAAGGAGAAGAATCTTTATTGTTTTCCTCTATTTCCCGTAATGGGCCCCATTCATCTGCCACAAAGAAGGGGGTCCACACTCTTCAGTTTATACAAATTGATTCTTTTGTCTCTAAGCATGCTTCAGACTGCATTTGGTTTAAATCCCTTCACTTGCATAGTAAGAGAAAAAAAAAATCCTCTATTTCCCCTATTGGGCCCCGCCCCTATGACCCCAGAGGCCTGAGGGCCCACACCCTCTGTTTATACAAACTTGAGGCTCCTTTGTTCAAAGATGCTCTAGAACAAATTTGGTCAAAATCCTTTTATTGGTTGAGAAGAAGAAGAATTTTAGAGATTTACCTATTTTCCCCCTATTTGGCCCCACCCCTCTGCCCCAGCGGGACCATACCCTTCGTTTATACAAAACTGAGAACCCTTTGGCCAATGATGCTTCAGACTAAGTTTGGTCAAAACCCCTTCATCGGTACAAAAGGAGAAGGATATTTAATGTTTTCCTCTATTTCCCCTAATGGGCCCCACCGTTCTGCCCTAAAGAAGGGGTGCAACACACCTCAGTTTATACAAAATGGATTCTTTTGGCCCTAATCATGCTTCAGACTGCATTTGGTTTAAATCCCTTCACTTGTATAGCAGGAGAAAAAAAATCCTCTATTTCCCCTATTGGGCCCAGACCCTCCGCCCCCAGAGGGACCACAACCTCCATTTATACAAACTTAAGTCTCCTTTGTCCAAAGATGCTCTAGGACAAATTTGGTCAAAGTCCTTCAATTGGTTGAGAGGGAGAAGATTTTTAAAGATTTACCTATTTGGCCCGGCCACTCTGCCCCCAGGGGGACCATACCCTCCGTTTATACAAAACTGAGAACCCTTTGGCCAATGATGCTCCAGACCAAATTTGGTCAAAATCCTCTGAGCCGTTCAGGACTAGTAGCGTTTTAAAGGAAAAAGTTGACGGACGACGGACAATGTGACATGGGATAAGCTCACCCAAGGCCCTTTGGGCCAGGTGAGCTAAAAAAAGGTGTACCACATGAATTTACATCTATTCTTGTGTAATGGCAATCAACATCACAGGGACAAATAAAAATATAATGACAAATGGCAATAACTCTGCAGGTTACCGTCAAATAATTACCGGACAAAGTTTAATTGAACTCTTGTCAACATTTATTCAAGTTATCGTGTTTACAAGGTCCAATAATAATATTATTACAAAGTGCAATAACTCTGTAAGTTAGTGTCAAATAATTCCCAGTTTCGAACTCATTCGAGATCTTATTGATATAAGGCTACATACAGTTTCATCAAACTTGGTTGATATTTACTCAAGTTATCGTGAACACAAGGTCCAATACAAAATAGTGTAATAATATTATTACAAAGGACATTAACTCTGTAAGTTACTGTCGAATAATTCCCATTTTCGAACTCATCCGAGATCTTAATTGTATAAGGCTGCATACAAAGTTTCATCAAACTTAGTTGATAATAACTTAAGTTATCATGTTCACAAGGTCCAATAATAATATTATTACAAAAGGCAATAACTCTGTAAGTTACTGTCAAATAATTCCAATTTTCAACTCGTCCGGGATCTTATTGATATATGGCTGCATACAAAGTTTCATCAAACTCGGTTAACATTTACTGAAGTTATCATGTTCACAGGGAAAAGTTAATGCACAACGTATGACGGACGACGACGGACAAAAGACTATCACAATAGGTTACCATGACCTATGGTCAGGTAACCTAAAAATGTTGGTACGTATATATGGGTGTCTCTTGCATATCGCAATTTTTAAATGTACAGTGTTAGTAACAGAATTAAAATATAATACCTTGCTATCATATCTGATTCATTTGTGTAATTGATTTTTAAAAATAATAGTTCAAAACTACTAAATCAATTATCTAAAAAAAGCATTGATTAAAGTGTTAAAGAATATTTTCAATAATGTTTTTATGAACTTATTCAATAGCACTTTGTCATAAACATTAGCAGTAATCAGGCTATATGCATTCATATAGCAGTACGTGAGTTATGCCCTCATAAATGATACTTTCTCACAGAAAGTATAAATATAAGATATAGATAGATATAAGACGACAATAATGCCACACCAAATAAAAATAAATATACATTTGTATAAATGTAAAAAAAAAAATCAACTTTGAACATTTGCTATCAAACTTCAGTAGTGGAGTTTAAACAGGCCCTGGTGTGGGGAAGGTGGAGGAACTAGGTTAAACCGAGAAGGGGCAAATTTGTGGTTATGTAAACCTCTGCTATAGGAATTGCAGAACTAAACCAGCCAATCAGGAATGAGCTAGGGTTTGTTAAGTTGGTTGTTCCCATGTAAAATTAGATATGGTCAATTACTGTGCCTCAGAGGCATTTATTTGAGGAACTGCAGCTGATGGCCAATGCATGCACAATTCTATAATGAATGAAAGCTACATGAACATATGATCTACATGTACATGTTACTTTGACTAAAGGTGACAATTGTGCAATATTGCATAAAAGAGAAAAATTTGTAGAGAACAAAAAGATGAAAAAGAACATATCAAATTGACTAAAACAATAAGGTTTGGGAGATATGAGTATGTTATAAGTAAATTATTAAATTATTAAATATAATAAGAAAATAATTAAACACAAGGGGTGCTGTTCACATGGAGTATTTCTGAAGCCGTGATTTGAAGGCATTCAGACGTGGAGAATATATCTGGAGGAAGAAAGTTCAGAGGGAGACGTAGTGAGGAAAGAAGCTGAACTTATTATAATCTGTTCTTGACTGAAAGAGTGGGTAAGAGGAGGCACGGTAGTCCAATGGAATGACGCCGGGCTCATGACCGATGGCGAAGGGTTAATGCGGGTTCGCGCCACGGCACGGCAATGTGTTGTATCTTTGAGCAAGTTACTTTACTCCGCTTGTTCTAGTCTACTCAGCTGTAAATGAGTATGTGGTTGGGCAGTGCTAGAGTTGTTGAATGTTAGCTGTTAGCGCCAAAATGGCAGCTCTGGCTGTATGCTCCTCAGGGAGTTGAGAACGATATTGGCAGGTTGCAAAGGCCCTATAACCACGGATAATAATTTGTGAACCGCTTTGAGACGACCTACAAACTAGGTTGTGATAAAGCAGTATATAAGAACCTCCAATTATTATTATTGGTTTGGATTGGCTGATCTAGTGTGTATGTGTCTTGATTGATGTTTTAAATAATTGTCAGGATTAATGGTATTTCTGATTTTAAATAACATGCATATGGTCACTATGGCTTTGTTTCGCCAGCATTCTAACGTGTCCCAACCTAATTGATCTAACATGGAGGTGACACTGCTGGTGTTGTAATAGCTAGGGATTAGTGGTATATCGTGTCACTATTCTTTTGCACCCTATCAAGGTTTTCTTTTGAGTTTTTTTGGTGAGTGGGGACCATACAGCATACTTGACAACTCCCCCTATTTAGGAGGGAGATTCTCAATTTTTTACCTTGAAATGTAGCATTTTCAACCAATGAATTTGCTAAACTATTTTTATTTTCTAAGATCTGATGATTTCATATCAAAGAACAACTCAAAAGATGGCTTTTAAAAGTGTAATTACATACACACCTTTCATTTATGCCATACAGTGGAACAGTAAAACTCCAAGTTTGATCTTACCATATAGCTTTATATATATATGCTGTTGCTATAACCATGTACATTGTATGACTTTCGAAAAGGAAGTATATATTTCAATATATATTGGTGAATTTGCCCAGGCCAGAGGTAAATTATGTTTGTCTGACTCTAGGGTCACCAGTTTTCCTTGTTAATTTACTTTTGTTAACTATATTTCCTTGTTAATTTACTTTTGTTAACTATATTTCCTTGTCAATTTACTTTTGTTTAAGTTATGTAGGATAAATTACACTCTATATGCCATTAAACCCCTGTCAACTTGACAAGACAGGATTTTTGAAGACTTTGTCAGCCAAAGTATTAAAATCAGTGTGGTGTTCAACTTCAAATATTCCAACATATCGTTTAAATGTTAAGTAGGGGACAGCCAGTTAATAAGGACACTTTTCAAATGATTACTGTTAATAAAGGTCCCCTGGTACAGTTTATCAACATGCTATGTGCAATATATCATAGATATTCTATGAACATGTTTGAAATATTTTAATTCATGTGTATTTCCGCATTTTGTATACTGCTGTACAGTGTGGGGAGGCTCTACTGACAATATAATGAACAAAAGGCCCAGAGGGCCTGTATCGCTCACCTGGATATCTAAGCAATCATGGCAAAATATTCTCCAAATGAGATCCAAGGGAATATGCCAGACCCCAAGGCCAATCCTTGTAGCATATCTGTATTTGGTTTTTTATGCCCAGCAATTTTATGTATGGTTATGGGGTGGGGATCTCAACTGTTTCCAAGCTGTGACTCAGAAACTAGGTCCCTAGGGTTGTGGCCAGACCCCAGGATCAATTCTAATATCATGACTGCATTTGTCTCTTTATGCCCAACAATTGTATATATAGTTTTGGGGTGGGGATCTTAACCATTTCAAAGTTATGACCCAGGGGTTAAGTCTCCAAGGGTGGGGCAGTCCCCAAGGCCATCCTGGAAGCATATGTGCATTCATCTCTTTATACTCAGCAATTGTATATATGGTTATAGGGTGGGGATCTCAACTGTTTCCAAGCTGTGACTAAGAAACTAGGTCCCTAGGGGTTCGGTCAGACCCCAGGGTCTATTCTAATATCATGACTGCATTCGTCTCTTTATGCCCAGCATTTGTATATATAGTTTTTGAGTGGGGATCTCAACCGTTTTAAAGTTATGGCCCAAGGACTATGTTTCCAAGGGTGGGGCCAGACCCTAGGGCCATCCTGGAAGCAAATGTGCATTCTTCTCTTTATACTCAGCAATTGTATATGTGGTTATATGGTGGGGATCTCAACCATTTCCAGGCAATAAACTTTTTTTGGTCCCACCCCTTAGCCCGGGGGGTCAGCCCCACCATTTGTACAATTTTGAATCCCCAACACCTAGGGATGCTTCCAGTCAAATATGGTTGATATCTATCTCTTAGTTCCAGAGAAGAAGTCGCTTAAAGTAATATAGCTAAATAACCCTTTTTGGCCCCGCCCCTCAGCTGCCACGGGGGTCAGCCACACCATTTGTACAATTTTGAATCCCTGCCTCCCATGAATGCTTTTGATCAAATATGATTGATATCCAGTGCATAGTTCTACAAAAGAAGTCGTTTGTAGCAATATAGTCAAAATGCCCCCTTTTGGCCCCGCCCCTCAGCCCCCTGGGGGGTCAGCCCCACCATTTGTACAATTTTGAATCCACACCACCTAGGAATGCTTCCAGTCAAATCTAGTTGAATTCCAATCTGTGGTTAAGAAGAAGAAGTCGTTTAAAGAAATTGTTGACGGACGGACGACGGACGCCACGGTATGACATAAGCTCACCTTGGTCCTTTGGACCCGATGAGCTAACAAGTTAAATAAATTCAGAAACGTGCAGCACGCCTAATTTTAGATGTTCCATTTGAAACCCCTTCAAAAGAAATGTTTTCTGTAATGAAATGGATGCCTATCAAATTGTATATTAATTATAGAAAGACTGTAATGACCTTTAAATGTGTACATGTATAGACTTGCTCCTGAATATTGATGTTCTTGTTTTAAACATGTAAACAGTGTCCACTCCAGAGCTACACGACGGGCTGAACAGAATGTGTTGTACATTCCAACACTTTTAAGCATAGAGCTATAAAGCACTACTGTGATTCATACTTTTAGATAACGAAAACAGTTTTTAATTTATGCTATATTAGCGTATATCCTGGTAATTTTTATACTTTGCTATATTAGCATATATGTATGTAAGGCTCCAGCCATTTTTAAACTATTATCAGACCTTCAAGGCACGAGAGTTATGCTTTCTGTGATATTTGATGTATTGTACTATATAATTGCATGTAATATTTTCAGCAATCTCATAACTTACATTTTAGATGTCATTTATGTTTTATTTATATTACTATGATTTAAGAAATACTATGTAAACATTAACACATTTTCCTAACAAAGAGGAACCTGAGGGAGATAAGCCTTTGGCTAAATCAGGTTTTTTAATCTTCAATAAATAAAGTTTATTATTATTATTAATAAATAAAGTTTATTATTATTATATATATATACAGTACTGAGTATGTATTTGGTTTTTGTGGAGATTATTGTTACATAACTGTTGTCTCGAATCATACCTTTTTTAGGGACATCATTTCCGAAAATCAAGTTTCCAGACGTTGCATATCATGCATGAAGACGAATATTATTAGACACACCTTTAAAAATTTGCTATTTTCAGACTTTTGGATATTCTGGGTACTGTCCGTCAACAGTCTAACATCCATATACTATTACTAACAGAGTTTGATTTAATCATTATAATAATGACATGTAATTGGATTATGTATTATTCATATAAGAACTGTCCGTATTTACCAGGATGTCCTATATTTGTATACATACACAAGTCAAGTGTTAGTTGTAACAAGTACATTATTTAGTTGAGAGATTCTTTAAATTAACTTTGAACATGCAGAACTTATATAAATTTACAATGTGAAAAATGAGGATCAAATTCAGTGATCATGAGAAGAGTGCATCACTATTTCAAATACCACAGAATCTAATTCCGTTATTACGCAACAGAAGTAGACTAGTAGTCTATATTAGACTTGTATTTTTTTTCAGAGGATCAGGTATTGCGCAATAATATTGTACATATATATATCATGTCTGATAGACCTCGGTAATAACGCGTACGGTTAGTTTAATTTTCGATGAATCGAAGTGAAGTCAGATACATAAATTGTTGAAGCAGGAATCATGTTGGTGTGAGAAAATAATTAAAGCAAACTTAAAGCTTTCAGGTTCAATTTTGGTGAGCAAGTTGCCCTACCACTCCACCCCCTCTAAAAAAATTAAAGGGCCCTGACGGCGATTCCCAAAGGTTTCGACTGTACGCGAGTCCCAAACTGAAAGTGCCGACGGTTCCCGATTGAAGAAAATGATGACGTTGAATTCAATATCTTACCTCCCTTTTCACTGCTCATATTGTTTGGTGACTGAAATTCCCTACTCGGCTGCTAAATTGTTAATTGTTAACAACTTCCACTCCTATTCTCAAATCAATTTGTTTTGACGTAAACTGCTGCTGCGCCACCTATCTTCTTTCGACGTCTCAGGGACAATAACTCGTAATTCTGTAAATATATCAAACCCATGTGATTCGAAATGGGAACATCTCTCTCGAATGTGATGATAATAAAAGCATTCATTTTCTTGGAAACTACGGTAGATCAAAAATACACAACATACATAGGATATGTATCGGATAGGCCTAGTTCCAAACATATATTAATTGCTTCTCGGGTCCCTGTGAACTACCGGATTCTGTCGGGCTCACCGGGTTCTACAGCCTATTACGTCAAGTGAAATTCCCTGTAAAGTGACTGTTGGTCATCAACCAAGTCATCCTTTCAATATTGATCCTTTACATTTGATAGTTATTGTTAAGACGTTTCAGCAGCCTTAGGTATGAGCGGTGAAAAAGGAGGTAAGATGTTACTCAATTTCGTGAATTGTGTTCTGGATCGCGACAACAAAAGATGTATGCAAGATAGATGATAAACAATAGGCGGTGCTCAAGCCTTAAGTATATAAGATACAGGTGGGTACCGGTAGATTCTAACAATAGATTCATTCACCTGATCACAGAATTATGGCCTATGATATTGTAAACAAACTAGCTAAACAACTTTTTTTTTAAAGTATTCAAATTTAGCTAATCAACATCTCGGTAATTAATGTAGACCTATACTTTTGAAGCCGTGGGTCAGATTTTGTGGCCTAATAGGCTAATGGCAAGGGTGATGGTATTTGCATTGTAGCATATCAAGTTCGGTAAAATAAATTACCTTGACCCACTTCCAAGGTTACAGGGTCACATTTGTTAAACATTTCAAATATTACTGAGTTTATTTTACCATGGACTTATATAATCTAATTCCGTGATTTAACCAAAAGGTCTTAGGTGATGATATTTCTCAAGGCTAACATGCTTGGATGAACCACGGAATTAGATTAGATCTAAGTCTGTGGATGAACACATTGAACGGTCATCAAGTTTGTTGAAACAAACGACCTTGTCCCACTTTTAAGGTCACAGGGGTCAGATTTGTTAAAACATTTAATTAAACTAATTCCATTGAATAACCAAGATGCATAGATATGGTGATAATATTAATTGCGCTCACAGGTAGCGCACTGGAATAAAGGGCTATCGTGTAAAATAACAATAATCTGCAAGTCAATGAACTTGATTTACTTCCGACAGAGACGTCTCTGCTTCCGAGGTCACACAGATCTTATATATGTGTTACAAACATTCAGCGTCTTCTGAATAAGTAAAAACCTTGAAATGTTTTTTTGTTGAATAACCAAGAGGCATTAGTTTGTGATAGTTGGCAAGCTGCTAAATAACCTAATTATTGCGTTAGTGCAATATGGAGTTGAAGGAGCTAGATGAGTGACCTAGACCAACTAACTTTGAAGGTCAGAAGGTCAATATCTTCTATTGAAGATTCATAGGTGTAGAGTAATACAATTAACTGGCTAATGAAGATCGAAAATTTGTAGAGTACATTAGCCTATTTAAATGAATCTGACCTTGACCATCTTTGAAGGTCACAGCTATAAAACGAGTGATAGTTGAGTGGATATAGGCAGATACAGTCACATGGGGCCTCTGTGATAATAGAAATGATCGATTGACTTTTATCACATAAGGTTAATTCACTCTTAGAAAGACTGATAAGGAACCATGATTGGGCTTCGACTGATGGTATAGCAGTTCTGGAATAATCCATCTACCATTGTCTTCATTCTCAGCAACAAGGGGCTTGATGGTACACTGTAAGCTAGTTAGTTATTGTTTTAACAAATTTTATTATATATATATATAAATGGATAAGATAACAGGCTAGGCCTATATAAATCTTCTCCAAGATGGTGTAAGTATGACATTATATATATACATGTAATTAACAAGCTATTTATATTATTGTATTAAACTCATAGTCACTCAATCATACATTCATACAATTATCTACTTATACACTCTCTATACACACTCATGTCAATACTCATTCTCTATATGATAGTTATAATATTATCTAAATGGACTAGCAACTATCAACAATTATGATTGAGTTAGGTTAAGTACAGAAAATAATTCATTTAATTATATATATAAATGCAAAAAAACCACCATATATAATAGTTTGATAATATTTAAACATTTAGTTACATCATCCTAACCGTTTAGATGCAATAATGTACTTTCAACATTAGACAATATCAGTATATTTATTTCAGAAGGTAAGTCAGTAATTCCAGATGTCAAAAGATGGACATTTAAGTAGCCAACTCTGGTATAGATATCATGGATTAAGTTCCTGGAATTAGAGTAATTTGGACAAGTGAAGAAGAAGTGTTCAGAATTTTCAATTGGATGACCACATGAACAGGAAGAATCAGGAGAAAGATGGTCAGGAAATTTGTCATAATTTAAGTCACTGGCATTATTTTTAAGTTGGCAGAGGATAACATTTAACTTTCTAGGGCTACAATTTAGAAAAACAGAAGTAATATTTACATGAGGGATTCTTTCATTGTTCAATTTAGATTTGAAGATATTTAATGATGGTGCTGAGATTATTTCAGAATCAAGCGAGTTCCATATTCTTATGACATCTGGAAAAAGACTATTGCCAAATAAATTAGATCTAAAGCAAGGAATATTAAAAAATCTGTGTTGTCTAAGATTATGAGGTGGAACAGCATCATTAATATAAGGTTTAACAATGTCATGTAAATATTCAGGTGTCATATGATTTAGGATTTTAAACATTAAAATAAGTTTGTGCTTATGACGCCTAGAAGACAGCAGTTAAAATCCAGTTTCAGAATATAGTTTCTGATGTGATGTTCCACTTCGTAATCCAGTTATTATTTTCATGGCCTCAATTTGTACAGATTCTTATAATTTCGGTTCGCCAATAGTGCAATTATTCCAAATAACATCTGCATACTCAAGAATAGGTCTTACATAAGAATAATATAGTGTTATTAAAGCATTTCTGTCAATTTTATTTTTGAGTGTTCTTAAAATATTCGATCTTTTGCATGCTTTTTCATAGATTTCTTGGATGTGATTACTCCATGAACCTTTGGAGTTGAATAAAAGACCTAAGTGTTTATGATTAGTTATTTCATTTACTATTTGATTGTCAAAGAGAAGTGGAGGATGATTTCGGTGGGTTTTTTTAACAGTTAATGCAACAGTTTTATCTGGATTAAATTTAATTTTCCATTGGTTAGCCCAATTACTAATAGAGTCAAGATCTTCATTTAGATCCATGCATGGAGCAACCACATCTTCATCAACAAGTACATGTAATGACGTATCATTGGCAAATAATTTAATATGAGTATGAATTTCATTAGTTATATCATTAATGAGCAGTAAGAAAAGAAAGGGGCCAAGTGTAGATCCATGAGGAACACCGGCAGTAATATTTTTGAAACTAGAAGAATATCCTTCATAAATCACTCTTTGTTTCCTATCCGACAGATAATTTTCAAACCAGTTATACAGATTCTCCTTAATTCCATATTTCTGAAGTTTATACAATAAACCTTTGTGCCATACTCTGTCGAAGGCCTTACTGATGTCACAAAATACCAGTCTAATGTCTTTTCCTTCATCAAGATTTTTTGAGATAATATTATACAGGGATAGTAATTGGTTAACTGTTGAATCACCACGTTGAAATCCAGATTGATGTTCACTTATTATATGATATTTAGTAACATGATTAAATACATACTTAAAGATGATTTTTTCTAGAATTTTAATAAAGCAAGAAGTTATAGCAATAGGCCTATAGTTACTAGGATCTTCAATTCCTCCTTTACCTTTATATAGTCCATTTATATTAGACAATTTCCATGATAAGGGTATCTTTCCAAGAGTAATAGTTTTTTGAAACAATATTTTTACTGGTAACACAAGGGAGGGTAAGAGATTTTTTACAATAATGGGTGACAGATTATCTGGTCCAGCTGGTTTCTTGACTTTTATAATTGATATTTGATCACTAACATCTTCTGTAATGATAATATTATTAAAATCAAGATGACTAAGGGGAGGTAAGTCTGTATCTTAAAGCTAGTTAAGTTATATATTACTGGAACTCTTTTGTGTAAAAACAGGCCAATCAGTGTTCAATGAAACATGTACTGCATGTTGTGGACAACAACATTTTAACAACAGTCCATCCTCGATATCCAGGGGTTACGCTTACTTTCGCTCTCTGCGTATATGTCATAGCAAAAGCGAAGGCTCAGTGTGGGCCACCTTGTGGATAAGACAAGAAAACTAGTTTGATCCTTTGATGTACATCAAAAGAATATCGCGGTGGTGTAATGGTAAAAAATACTGGCTTTGAAGTTGGGTATTGTTCCTGTGTAATTTTCAAAGGACAGTTGTCAGCCTAGTGATTGGTCATTTTTTTTTTACCTGAGACCAATCAAATAGCTAGCGGTGTGCCTTCAATTTTTCTATGATATATTCCAGGGTTGCAGAGAGCGAAAGTGAGTGTAACACCTGGATATCGAGGATGACAACAGTCTTGTGTTAAAGTCTCACTTCTATTATTCTCGATATTTGTCAGGTGCACCACCCAGCTACCCACCCCAGTATGGACAGCCTCTACAACAGCCACCACCTGGCTATGATTCTGTGCCTCAATATCAGCCTTATGGGCCCCCATCAGGGGCCCCAATGTACATGTACCAGGGTGGCCATCCACATTACCAAGCTCAGATGTCACCTGGACAGACACAGGTACGAAACAAAACAATTTACATTCATTGGCTTCTCTTTTGGTAATTGTATATGTACCAGGTATTTTATTTCAAGAATCACCATAGATAAATGTTTATTTGAAGAGTGACTTACAAGAAAATATTTAATTAGAAAATAATCAATTACTGGTACTGGAACTCTGAACTCTGTATATTTCATAGATGTGCTGAAAGTCTTTTCTTCTTTGTGTATTGAATTTGACTAAAATCTGAGACTCTCTTGAAGTTTTTGAGACTCTTGAAGGTTTTAATTGCAATTCGTTTATTATCTGGAAAATTTTTGTAACTGAAAAAAATATTTTGTCTGAACAAAATCTGATTTACTGTTGAATGACAAAATAGGTAAAAAGAGTTGTCATGGAGGGCACAGAGGAACTTGTCATGGAAGGCACAGAGGAACTTGTCAGGGAGGGCACAGAGGAACACAGGGAAAAAGGGTTGTCATGGAGGGCACAGGGGAACTTGTCATGGAGGGCACGGAGAAACACAAACAAAAAGAGTTGTCATGGAGGACACAGAGAAACACCGCTAAAAAGAGTTGTCATGGAGGGCACACAGGAACTTGTCATTGAGGGCACAGTGACTTACAAGAAAATATTTAATTAGAAAATAATCAATTACTGGTACTGGAACTCTGAACTCTGTATATTTCATAGATGTGCTGAAAGTCTTTTCTTCTTTGTGTATTGAATTTGACTAAAATCTGAGACTCTCTTGAAGTTTTCGAGACTCTTGAAGGTTTTAATTGCAATTCGTTTATTATCTGGAAAATTTTTGTAACTGAAACAAATATTTTGTCTGAACAAAATCTGATTTACTGTTGAATGACAAAATAGGTTGTCATGGAGAGCACGGAGGAACACAGGTAAAAAGAGTTGTCATGGCGGGCACAGAGGAACTTGTCATTGATGGCACAGAGAAACACAGGTAAAAAGAGTTGTCGTGGAGGGCACAGAGGAACTTGTAATGGAGGGCACAGAGGAACGTGTCATGGAGGGCACAGAGGCACACAGATAAAAAGAGTTGTTATGGAGGGCACAGAGGAACGTGTCATGGAGGGCACAGAGGACCACAGATAAAAAGAGTTGTCATTGAGGGCACAGAGGAACACATATAAAAAGAGTTGGCATGGAGGGCACAGAGGAAAACAGATAAAAAGAGTTGACATGTAGGGCATAGAGGAACTTGTCATGGAGGGCGCAGAGGAACACAGATAAAAAGGGTTGTCATGGAGGGCACAGAGGCACACAGATAAAAAGAGTTGGCATGGAGGGCGCAGAGGAACACAGATAAAAAGAGATGTCATGTAGGGCACAGAGGAACACAGCTAAAAAGAGTTGTTATGGAGGGCACAGAGGAACGTGTCATGGAGGGCACAGAGGGACTTGTCATTGAGGGCACAGTGACTTACAAGAAAATATTTAATTAGAAAATAATCAATTACTGGTACTGGAACTCTGAACTCTGTATATTTCATAGATGTGCTGAAAGTCTTTTCTTCTTTGTGTATTGAATTTGACTAAAATCTGAGACTCTCTTGAAGTTTTCGAGACTCTTGAAGGTTTTAATTGCAATTCGTTTATTATCTGGAACATTTTTGTAACTGAAAAAAATATTTTGTCTGAACAAAATCTGATTTACTGTTGAATGACAAAATAGGTAAAAAGAGTTGTCATGGAAAGCACAGAGGAACTTGTCATGGAAGGCACAGAGGAACTTGTCAGGGAGGGCACAGAGGAACACATATAAAAAGAGTTGTCATTGAGGGCACAGAGGAACACATATAAAAAGAGTTGGCATGGAGGGCACAGAGGAAAACAGATAAAAAGAGTTGTCATTGAGGGCACAGAGGAACACAGCTAAAAAGAGTTGTCATGGAGGACACAGAGAAACACCGCTAAAAAGAGTTGTCATGGAAAGCACAGAGGAACTTGTCATTGATGGCACAGAGAAACACAGGTAAAAAGAGTTGTCGTGGAGGGCACAGAGGAACTTGTAATGGAGGGCACAGAGGAACGTGTCATGGAGGGCACAGAGGGACTTGTCATTGAGGGCACAGTGACTTACAAGAAAATATTTAATTAGAAAATAATCAATTACTGGTACTGGAACTCTGAACTCTGTATATTTCATAGATGTGCTGAAAGTCTTTTCTTCTTTGTGTATTGAATTTGACTAAAATCTGAGACTCTCTTGAAGTTTTCGAGACTCTTGAAGGTTTTAATTGCAATTCGTTTATTATCTGGAACATTTTTGTAACTGAAAAAAATATTTTTTCTGAACAAAATAAGATTTACTGTTGAATGACAAAATAGGTTGTCATGGAGAGCACGGAGGAACACAGGTAAAAAGAGTTGTCGTGGAGGGCACAGAGGAACTTGTAATGGAGGGCACAGAGGAACGCAAATAAAGAGAGTTGTCATGGAGGGCATAGAGGAACACAGATAAAAATAGTTGTCATGGAGGGCACAAAGGAACTTGTCATGGAGGGCGCAGAGGAACTTGTCATGGAAGGCACAGAGGAACTTGTCATTGAGGGCACAGAGGAACTTGTAATGGAGGGCACAGAGGAACTTGTCATTGAGGACACTGAGAAACTTGTCATGGAGGGCACTGAGGAACTTGTCATGGAGGAAACAGAGGAACTTGTCATGGAAGGCACAGAGGAACTTGTCATTGATGGCACAGAGAAACACAGGTAAAAAGAGTTGTCGTGGAGGGCACAGAGGAACTCAGATACGAAGAATTGGCATGGAGGGCACAGAGAAACTTGTCATGGAGGGCGCAGAGGAACTTGTCATGGAGGACACAGAGGAACGCAGATAAAAAGAGTTGTCATTGAGGGCTCAGAGAAACACAGCTAAAAAGAGTTGTTATGGAGGGCACAGAGGAACGCAAATAAAGAGAGTTGTCATGGAGGGCACCGAGGAACTTGTCATTGAGGGCACAGAGGAACGCAGATAAAAAGAGTTGACATGGAGGGCACAGAGGAACGTGTCATGGAGGGCACAGAGGGACTTGTCATTGAGGGCACAGAGGAACTTGTAATGGAGGGCACAGAGGAACTCAGATACGAAGAATTGGCATGGAGGGCACAGAGCAACACATATAAAAAGAGTTGTCATGGCGGGCACAGAGGAACTTGTCAGGGATGGCACATAGGAACACAGATAAAAAGAGTTGTCATGGAAAGCACAGAGGAACTTGTCATTGAGGGCACAGTGACTTACAAGAAAATATTTAATTAGAAAATAATCAATTACTGGTACTGGAACTCTGAACTCTGTATATTTCATAGATGTGCTGAAAGTCTTTTCTTCTTTGTGTATTGAATTTGACTAAAATCTGAGACTCTCTTGAAGTTTTCGAGACTCTTGAAGGTTTTAATTGCAATTCGTTTATTATCTGGAAAATTTTTGTAACTGAAACAAATATTTTGTCTGAACAAAATCTGATTTACTGTTGAATGACAAAATAGGTTGTCATGGAGAGCACGGAGGAACACAGGTAAAAAGAGTTGTCGTGGAGGGCACAGAGGAACTCAGATACGAAGAATTGGCATGGAGGGCACAGAGAAACTTGTCATGGAGGGCACTGAGGAACTTGTCATGGAGGACACAGAGGAACGCAGATAAAAAGAGTTGACATGTAGGGCATAGAGGAACTTGTCATGGAGGGTACAGAGGAACACAGATAAAAAGAGTTGTAGTTACTTCCCTTGTTTCAAAAAGGTTGTTTATTTAACTACCATTTAGTGAAATAAAACTCAAATGTGCTTTGTAAACAAATAACTCAATAAATAAAACACAAAAAAATTGAAGGAAAAAAAAGTAATTCATCTAGGGTTAGGCCTCATTTCAAATGGACATCTTACACTCTGGGCTTTAGGAAAGAAAGCCCAACACAACTTTTGAATGGCATAAAAGACCCTTGATTTTCTCTTCTACCCTACCACTTTCTTCGTGAACAGCCTCCCTGGGTTGCTACCCATATCATCAATTCACGATATAATCACTCTGTTTTCTCCAAAAGGGGGATTCTGCATCCCCCCATTAATTTATATATATAATTGTTTTACCTATACATGTATCACACTTCCAATGCCCCCCATTTTTTTCAAACCTGGAGAAAACACTGCATAATGGCCCTAAAATACCTTATTGTGTCAATTAGGGCTGCAGCGATAACGATGCGATATGTATCTAGATACTGTGGTCATGATACGATACATATCATAATAATACAGTAACAGTAGAAGTAAAGAGAAAAGATATGTTTCAAATTTTTAATGGCAATATTACAACTGGAAATAGAATTGGTCCAAAATTGGCTTGACTTAAAAAGTTTCATTGAATTCACGTCTTTTGACCTGCATGCTGAGCTGGAGCTGTCATTCGCCATGTTGGAACAGATATATGAGTAGACTAAATTCAGGAACAACAAAATTTGAAAAAACAGTGTAGATGTATCGTGACCTCCCAAAAACATTGTGTATTGTACTTTATTTAAAATATTGCGATATATCGTTGCACGACACATCGTTGCAGCCTTAGTGTCGATAGACTTTTAAATTAGAAACAAACAATAAACCAATAGGTAACGCAATTGTATGTCTACTCTACAAATGGCTTGTGAAAGTTACTGCTATTCTACTTTAGTTTATTTAAAGTAGAATTGTTCTGTATACTTGAAAAGTAATAGTCTGGCCCTATTACAGCTCTATTACTACCAACTGAGATGTGATTTTGCATCAAAATGCCCTACTGTCTGATATACAATTACTACCTTTATATCTTATTTTAGCCAATTTTTAGGCAAAATCTAATATCTTAGGATTATAGGCATTTAGTAGTCAAATTTGTACAAATGACAAAGAGCTCTCTAGAATAAAAATAACAATTTTTTGGGAAAATCTGAAAGATTATGAAGCTGTAATATACTGTATACTGGGATTTTTTCACCCAGTCAAACTTGAGCTCTTCTCCAGAATTATCCACATCTCCCCAGTGTTCATTTTGCCCTCAAAAAGTCAATGTTGCATAAACAAAGGGGCTGTGTGTTATGGTTGGGACCAACATGGAAATCAAATCTAGTCTTTGAAAGACCACTCTTACGTAACCCGGGTGAAGTTACAAAGTTCTGTATTTCGACCTTTGGCTTTAAGTTGGTGCTCTCTTTGATGTCATTCAGAATCCTTCGACATTATCATGTATAACTTACTTATGGCATTTGATTTGAATCTAAATACAGCTATTTTGTGAAAAAATGTTGATTTTCTGACTATGGATGTAAGTCTCATTCTGCTGTAAGATGTATAATTATAATGTCTGCTCAACAGGTTCTGGTGGTACCCCCGCCTCAGACATTTTCAGAACCTCCTCCACCCGACTACATGAACAGAGCAATCTTCACTACCATCTGCTGCTTCTGGCCTGTGGGAATTTTCGCCATAATGAAAGCCAGTGAGGTATGTGGAAAAAAAATCAAAATTCAAAATCAGTCTTATTTTTTGTTTCAAAATGAAAAATGGAATAAAATAGAATTGAAGTCTGGCTTAGTTCTTGTTGTATAGAGGACATTCCTTGTCATAGGTACAATGATTAATCCTTCTGAAAAAAGATAGATGTTTAAATTAAGTAACATTTCTACAAAATTTTCATTACTAAGAAACCATATGATTTACATACATATATATTCTGTCTTGACATTTTCATTATTAATAATATAAATTAGGTAAATATCTGAATCCTTGTACTATTCTCCAAAAACATTATGGGGATGGTAAATAGACCAGTTTCTATATGGTGACATGATCATTTGTTCTTAATTTTTTTTAACTCTTTCAGCTTTATTAAGAATATATATTATGTATAAAGTATTTTTCCAATTGAATGTTTGTTTTAAACAAACGATAATTACAAAGTTATTCCCTATTGTTTTAAGGTAAAAGGTAAATTTTGGCTATTCCCCGAAAGATGGAATTTTTCAGGTTTTAACTTAAAAACTGACAACACCAAAACTGATAAGTTCAAATACCAGAACAATTTATTTAATTTCAAAAAATTGGTATTCAATTATCAAATAACTTTGATAGTTTTTCCTGCAGCATCATTGGCCAAAGGGTTCTTAGTTTTGTATAAACGGAGGGTATGGTCCACCTGGGGGCAGAGGGGCGGGGCCTAATAGGGAGAAAATAGGTAAATCTTTAAAAAATCTTCTTCTTCTCAACCAATAGAAGGATTTTGACCCAATTCGTCCTAGAGTATCTTTGGACAAAGGAGACTCAAGTTTGTATAAATGGAGGGTGTGGCCCTTCTGGGGGCAGAGGGGCGGGGCACAATAGGGGAAATAGAGGAATGTTTTTCTCCTACTATACAAGTAAAGGGATTTAAACCAAATGCAGTCTGAAGCATGATTAGGGACAAAAGAATCAATTTTGTATAAACTGAGGTGTGTTGGCCCCCTTCTAGGGCCAGATGTGTGGGGCCCATTAGGGGAAATAGAGGAAAACATCAAAGATCCTTTTCCTTTTGAACCGATGAAGGGATTTTGACTAAATTTGGTCTGGAGCATCATTGGCCAAAGGGTTCTCAGTTTTGTATAAACGGAGGGTATGGTCGCCCTGGGGGCAGAGGGGCGAGGCCAAATAGGGGGAAAATAGGTAAATCTTTAAAAAATCTTCTTCTCAATCAATAAAAGGATTATGATCAAATTCGTCCTAGAGTNAATTTGTTCTAGAGTATCTTTGGACAAAGGAGCCTCAAGTTTGTATGAACAGAGGGTGTGGCCCCTCTGGGAGCATAGGGTTGGGGCTGAATAGGGGAAATAGAGGATTTTTTTTCTCCTACTATGTACAAGTGAAGAGATTTAAACCAAATGCAGTCTGAAGCATGCTTAGGGACAAAAGAATCAATTTTGTTTAAGCTGAGGTGTGTGGACCCCCTTCTTTGGGGCAGATGAGTGGGGCCCATTAGGGGAAATAGAGGAAAACATTAAAGATCCTTCTCCTTCTGTACCGTTGAAGGGATTTTAACCTAACCAAACTTGTTCTAGAGAATCTTTGGGCAAAGGGAATTGAATATTTAAAAATGGAAGATGGGACATAACATGGAAACTCATTTTCTTGTTGTCTTTCCCACCAAAACAGATTTATATGTAGTACTTCTTGCAACTTTGATTCTTGTTCTCCTTTCATAAACCTGAATGGTACTCAGCAGGTTTTAAATTGAAAAATAAAATACCAGGTGAGCTATTAAGGCCCTTGGACCTCTTGTTCTTTGTTTTCATACCAAATACTTAAATCTGATTGGTTGGGAAAAAAAACAATTGTTCCATGAAAGAAAGAAAAAAAGCCACGCCCCCAGAACTACTTTCACAAACTTTGTAAGAATCTGCTTCACGGATCCATAGTTTTTCACACCCTGATGAAAATTTTAAAAATCAACCTCAATACTTAAATATTCAATTGAGATTACTTCTGAACTTCCTAATTGACATTTATTTATACTTCCAGTAACTTGAGCTTTGCACTTTCCCTAGGGTATTGATATGCACTTGAGATTACTTTTCAGCATTTCACTTAACATAATTATTTATACTTCCGATTACTTTAAGCTTTCCACTTGATATAGGCTAGCATGTACAAAATATATTTACTGGAGATTACGGATATTCTTTACTCACCTGCACCAGCTATCATATTTACGTGGGTGTAAATATAAATTCTGAGCCTTCTACTAGACTTAAGTAATGTAGTAAAGTAACTTTTGAGGGTCAGATAACGCAGTATTCTACAACATTTGTGTTTCATCTGTGAGAGGCACACATTCATACTTGCCAACTCTCTTTATTTTGGAAGGAGACTCTATTTTGAACTCTAAAAGTTGACCCCATGGCAATTATATTTAGACTATAACAGAATTTGTATGCATTGTAGGTAACTTATATTCAAAATTTGAAATCTTTTCAGGCAAAAAATGCCTACGCACGTGGTGACTTTCTAGGAGCGAAATCCAATTCTGACTCCGCCCGACGGCTTTCCAACATCGCCATCTTTGCTGGTGTTGCAAGCATTGTCGTGTCCATGATCATCGTAGGTGTTTATGTGGGCCTGATCATGACCAACATGAGGAGTTACTAACATCTGAGCTGGTACCTATGGACAGACATACCAACACAAGGAGTTACTAACATCTGAGCTGGTACCTATGGACAGACATACCAACACAAGGAGTTACTAACATCTGAGCTGGTACCTATGGACAGACATACCAACACGAGGAGTTACTAACATCTGAGCTGGTACCTATGGACAGACATACCAACACGAGGAGTTACTAACATCTGAGCTGGTACCTATGGACAGACATACCAACACGAGGAGTTACTAACACCTGAGCTGGTACCTATAGACAGACATACCAACATGAGGAGTTACTAACATCTGAGCTGGTACCTATGGACAGACATACCAACATGAAGTGCTTTTGACATGTGCCAAGGCTGGTACCGAGGGACAGACGTAGCTTTATGTTTATAATTATGGAAAACTAGCTGTCACATAAATGTGTGAGATCAGTTTTATGACAAAACAACACTTTTTGGACCATACATGTGTTGGTTTCTTACTAAATAACAACAAGTATTACCTAATGTTGATAAAATGGAACTCAAATTTGATGTTTCGTTGATGTGTCATCCAAAAATATTTTTTTTAAAAGCATGAATTAACAGATTTACCTGTGGTATACCATACAAAGGATATCGTAATCAATTTACCTGTGGTATACCATACAAAGGATATCGTAATCAATTTACCTGTGGTATACCATACAAAGAATATCGTAATCGTTTATGTACTATATGCTTGGACCAGCAGGAAACACTTAAGGTGTCTGGTTAGGATTTTAATGTTGTACAGTATAATTAACTTTAATCTAATTTCATTTGTACAAAGGTTAATATTGACATGTGATACTGTAATTTACATCACCAATTTATTTAGGAGTAGAATTTACCACAATTTGAGCATTGAAACTTAAAAATAACCATTTTCAATACAACTTTATTTATGGATGAAGATATTCCTTATAGATTTATGATGATTTCATAACTGCAAGAAATTGAACTGAATTAAAAGCACAATTTGGTAAACAGAAAATTCCATAGAGAAAGTTGTTTTGTTCTACTCGGCCTGAAAATCATGATGGCTGATGGTATCCAAACAAAACTTTGAACGTTCATTTGAAGTCATACTTCGCAAATGAAATTAACTGGAAATATGTGTTTACTTCTTACACATTTATGTATCTTATATTCCAGTTAGACAAACCATAATAATTTGTTTCTTAAAATTAATTAAATTAATTCTCTATTTGTCTTCCTGTGGTTGAAACAGGAAATGCTCGTTCTACTGGAGCAAATTGAGATTTCTTAACTTGATGGCGGCTATTCTCGAACTGATGAATATATGGTTAAAATATTATCCCCCTTTCACCGAAACGGGGGATATTAATTTGGGTTTGTCTGTCTGTCAGTCTGTCTGTCTGTCTGTCACGCTTCCATTGCGTATAAATAACTGCAACAAATGTTAACCGATTTTCTTCAAACTGGGTAACAATGTTAAATGCCTTTAGGCCTCGGCCTTGAACAAACTTCATATTTCTCCTAAAGATGTATTACAGGTGCCTACACATTATTCTTTGCTATTAAGTTTGTTCAAGCATGCGCTCTATAGTTTCTAGGAGAAAAAGCATGCAAAATATCACAATATTCTCTGAATATTCCAATTTTTCTAATTTATGCAAATTTGAACTTGTTACAATGGCAACAATAATTAGAAATATAAATAAATATTTTCATAATGGTATTTGGGAAGTATTCGAAATTAAAAATACAGTCACTTCAAAGTTCATTAAAAGGTTTTGAATTTTGATGCATTTGGGGGCCAAAACAGGCCCAAGCCATGCATAATCCTTTGACAACCACTTTAATTGGACTCCATTTGGCGGAGTTATGGCCCCTTGATTAAAGAATAAGGTCATTATCTGCAGTTTCCGCTTAATAACTCTAGCAAATATTAGCCAAATTCCTTCAAACTTGACAACAATGTTTGTGTTCCTCCGTCTTTCCACTCATCTTGGGCACTCTTTTGTTTTTGTGTGATAATTGCTGTATATATTGTGCAGATATTTCAACCAAATTCTGTATGCGATTCCGACTCATGCTAAGTTTGCCAACCGATGTGATTTGTGCAAATTTACGGAAAATAAATGAGGTTAGTAAATTCTGATAGATTAAACGATTAATTCACACCGTAATACCTACATGTTCAATAAAAAGTCTAACTTCTGTATAAGGCTTTTTTTCTTCTTCAAGTTCCAAGCTATACATTATGTCTCAACAGCACGATACTCACATGTTTAAACCTAACCTCAATGATGTTTACCTACAATATGTCCTGCAAGCGGGGATATAAATTCCACGAAAAATATGTATTATTGAAAAAGGTAAGATATATATGCAGGGAAATTCCCGTGTATCACTCAGTCACCGCAGACTGCAGTTCAGACCAGCAATTGATGAATGTGGGTATATATTTGAACAGTCATTAAATTTTTTTCTTTATTAAATAATAATATTCTTTTCTACACCACCAACATCAGTAAAATGCCATGCACTACAGACTTGTAAAAACTGAATCATTCTTTTCACTACCAATACCATTTCTCACTTATGTGCATATACAATTACAAACCAAGGGGTGCATTTTATTCATACAAAGTTTACAACAAATCTGGTAATAGGGAAGTGCATTGCTCACTTTTTTATTTGCTCACTTATTCAAGTTCGATTTGGAGAGCTATCTCCCTTGCACCATAAATTATTACTTACTAGAGAAAACAGATATCACATTTGTTTTACTTCACTGATAATTTGAATTGTAGTCAATTTAATTTTTAGGTCACCTGAGCTTTAGCTCAAGTGACCTATTGCTATCCTTTTTCGTCTGTCGTCGTCCGTCGTCGGTTAACATTTTACATTTCAAACTTAAAGTCAAGTTCTGCTAGGCCGATTGAACTGAAACTTTGTAGGAATGATCGAATCATGGTCCTGACAAAGTGTTGTTATTTTTTGGGTCGATCAGAAATCCAATATGGCCGCCACGTCCGCCATTTTGAAAAACTATTTCAAACTTAAAGTAAAGTTCTACTTGGCCGGTTGAACTGAAACTTTGTAGGAATGATCGAATCATGGTCCTGACAAAGTGTTGTTATTTTTCGGGTCGATCAGAAATCCAATATGGCCACCACGGCTGCCATTTTGAAAAACTATTTCAAACTTAAAGTCAAGTTCTGCTGGGCCAATTGAACTGAAAGTTGGTAGGAATGATCAACTCATGGTCCTGACAAAGTGTTGTTATTTTTCGGGTCGATCAGAAATCCAATATGGCCACCACGGCTGCCATTTTGAAAAACTATTTCAAACTTAAAGTAAAGTTCTACTTGGCCGGTTGAACTGAAACTTTGTAGGAATGATTGACTCATGGTCCTGACAAAGTGTTGTTATTTTTCGGGTCGTTCAGAAATCCAATATGGCCGCCACGTCCGCCATTTTGAAAAACTATTTCAAACTTAAAGTCAAGTTCTGCTAGGCCGATTGAACTGAAACTTTGTAGGAATGATCGAATCATGGTCCTGACAAAGTGTTGTTATTTTTCAGGTCAATCAGAAATCCAATATGGCCACCACGGCTGCCATTTTGAAAAACTATTTCAAACTTAAAGTAAAGTTCTACTTGGCCGATTGAACTGAAACTTTGTAGGAATGATCGAATCATGGTCCTGACAAAGTTAAGTTAACATTATACTATTTTTTACTCAAATTGGTACATATTTCAACAACAAAAATAAATTCTGTTAACTCAGGTGACCGTTTAGGCCCATGGGCCTCTTGTTCTGTTTTCCTTTCATATTTATCGGAGCTGATGGTACCATAGAGTATGAATCTCAAACAATTGAATTTTGCAGAGATTTATTTCACATGTAGTATGCCACCTATTCTCTGGTACCCATCAGTAATTCCTGTATGGTTGAGTTTACATACAAAACTTCATGTATTGTATACAGAATAGGAGTTTACTTTAATTATATTATGTGGACTCTTTAATTCAGTTTTTTTCTTAAACTATCAATTTGATATTCTCTTTGAATGATATTTTATCTAAACAATGTACTAAACTAGAACTGTCTATAGGTAAGGTTTAGATACATTAGATGAAGCCATCACACTTTTTATGAAGGTTTCCTACAGACTTTTTTTACTGAACGTCTTTTTTTTATAAAAAAAAATAATTTGATTTGAATTTTAAAGTGTTTAGTTTTCAGATAGGTCATTACCAAACAAAATAATTGAATTGTAATTGTAAGTCCCTTCTATGATTCAGATGATTTTTAATTAAATGATGGCTACAGTTGCTTGCCTTACTAAGTATTTGAATACATTTTTAGGTCACCTGAGCTTTAGCTCAAGTGACCTATTGCTATCCGTTTTCGTCCGTCGTCGTCCGTCGTCCGTCGTCCGTTAACATTTTACATTTCAAACTTAAAGTCAAGTTCTGCTGGGCCGATTGAACTGAAAGTTGGTAGGAATGATCGCCTCATGGTCCTGACAAAGTGTTGTTATTTTTCGGGTCGATCAGAAATCCAATATGGCCGCCACGGCCGCCATTTTGAAAACCTATTTCAAACTTAAAGTCAAGTTCTGCTGGACCGATTGAACTGAAAGTTGGTAGGAATGATCGCCTCATGGTCCTGACAAAGTGTTGTTATTTTTCGGGTCGATCAGAAATCCAATATGGCCGCCACGGCCGCCATTTTGAAAACCTATTTCAAACTTAAAGTCAAGTTCTGCTGGACCGATTGAACTGAAAGTTGGTAGGAATGATCGCCTCATGGTCCTGACAAAGTGTTGTTATTTTT